GCCTTTGTTCAGTAAATTTAAATTCTCATTCAGTGTATCTCTCAGCAACTTTTTTTTCTGAAATAAATGCGTAAGGCTTTTTTAGCTCAGGAGAAATTTCCTCACGATTGCTAAAATTTTGTTGTTTCACAGATTCTCAGCATCATTCTGAATTCCTGCATGAATTCCTGCACTGGCTGCTGGTGGCTTCATCCCATGAATCAGACTGGCTATTTCCTGAAAAACAAATGGATTGTGCTTTCCACTATCCACTGTTTAGCCTCCTGAGCCAGAGTACTTACTGAAATTCAAACATACTTTTAACTCTCAGCTCATGTCTTATGTTTGTAACCAACCCTCAGGTGTGCTGCCTATGGGTGGACAATGTGATTTCTGCCTCCACTACCTCTGCCACTGAGCACACAGGGTCTTCCTTTTCTTCACATAAGGTGAAAAGACCTCTGTGTTCTTAAAAATCTGCCCGTGTTTTTTTTCTCGACAGATTGCAAGCAACTTGCTTCCACATTTTCAATTTATAATGATATCAAATGAACTATCTCTGAGAACAAGTCTCTGGTAACTGAAAGCAGGATACTTATTTCCATCTCCTCCAGCACTGACTTTCTAAGTTGGAGGGAAACTGTATTGATTTTGTCTTTAAAATACTCAAGACAAGGAGTAGGAGATGGGATTTTTAAATTTTTTTTTCTCCTTTTGAAGTTCATGATGCTTTTCAGGAGTCATGGTTCTCTAATTTTTTAGGGGGAGGAAGTCTACCTCTTTTACTCGCTAATTATCATTAATTTGAAATTTAAATGTGATAAGATGGGATTATGTAAATTCAGTTCCATGTTTAAATGAACCTGGAAATAGAAAACTAGAGCAGAGAGTTACAAATGTAAGGAATCTTCATAGGTTGATGCAGTGAAGTTATTAAGAAACTACTACATTAGGGAACAACTGTCTGACTCTAACTTTCACTAGCCAGGCTTGTACTACGTTTTCACTAGGCCAAGGACAATGGAACAACATAAATCTTAACAGCTGTGTCCTGGCCAAAGCAAGCGAGAGAATATCTCTTATATTTCTGTACAGATACCACCACACAATAGCATCTATGTCTCTGAATATTTGCTACCCATAAGATACGGATCTTTCCAGTTCTCTTTCCCAAAATGAAAATCTAAAAAGTTCAGAGGTTATAGAAGAGGATATTTGACTGTCAATATTCTTGATTCAATAGGGTGAATGACATTTCAACCTGATTTCACTTTGACTATCTTCTATTCCACACTCCAGCAACAAGGCGTTTTAACTTCTTCAGAAGTAACTAGTCTTATACAATCCAGTCCACTGTGGTAGAGTGTGTCATAATGCTTCAAAATATGCTTAATTAAAGCAAAAATAAAAAGCATGACTATTTACTTACTGGAGGAAAAAAAGTTGTTACAATTTTAAAGGAGTCTGAAATCCTTTTTGTACTCTTTCTTCCTTTCGTGTAGATAATTTTTCATTACTGGGGGTTTAGGAGATTTTGTTTTAGTACCATCAGATTGTCAGTACTACAAAATCAGTTTTTAATTGACATTGATTGCAGAGAAGAGACCTGTCTGCTCAATCATGAGGCATGGATCAGGTCAGGATCTTTACGTACCATGTGATGTGAATAGGAAGGCATTTACTTGACAGCTCCTTTTCCAAGGGTAAATTGCTGAGAGCTGTAATGCTCTATAAAGGCACTAGAGAGTTTGGGAGTCTCTTACACACACCCCCACACACCCACACACACACACACTCTTCATTTTCTTTTCTCTCCTGTGCTTTTGTTCCAAACTGGTCATCCTTCCTGACAGAAAAAAGGGAAAATTGGCTGTAACTTTAGTTTGCATTAGTGGCGCCAGCATACCTAGGCTGATATCATTTTTGGTCTACATTTACAAAATTGAAGGTTCAATATGTTGTGTGTCTGTCAAGTCAGCTTACCTTCTCTTTCTTGTGAGCTACACGATGGTGATTTTGTTAAGATTCTTGGGTCTGTGGTGTAGAGCACAAGCATTAGGTATAGAAAAGATGTGTATCTTTGTGCAAGTTAGAAGTGGAGATAAAAAGCTACTGTTTAATAACTTCCTGGGAACTGTATGTTGTGCCTCAATGAAAAGCCCAATAATGTATCTTTTACATCAACCGGTAGTCTGTGTAAGGTAATATTTTGATATCTGACTTGTCTGTCTCTTCAATCCACTTATGTTTTCTCAGCCTCCCCAAATACCAGAGGAGTTGACAGAGACCTTGCCCAGCCCAAATCACCCAGCTCTAGTCTCAGCAAGAGTGGGATATGTGTCCCCTGCTGAGATCCCAAAAGCAAAAGAGCCACATCAATGAATGGTAATGAACTTGACCTCTTCCCGACCCTAACACTAATAGTTAGGAGCCAGCTCTGCTATAAGGGAAGGATCTCTGCCCGATTCTTTCCTCATCACAAATATGATCTGAGGCCAATTATGAATTTTAGCCTTCATCTTCAAATGGTTCTTTTTCACAAAAGTATAGTATTACATCCCTCTTTTCTCAGCTGGGGGTCTGAAAAGCCTTCATGAAAGAGGTACTACCACAGATGTTTTCTACAGCTCCTAAAAGAATGGAGCTCTAATATGGCATGTAGCATGTCTGCACTAACATGCTTCAAATACTACTGACACTTACCCTGCTCATCCTCTACCAGGATTGTGCCACAGTGACACAGGCAGTAAATATCTAACGTAACTGAGTAAGGCCCAAAACATCAAAGGTTGTTTCTTTCTATCAGGGAGGGAAGTAAATTCTCAGCTTATGTTTTCTTTCCAAACACAGTTTATAGGAGAGGCATATCAGCTGCTAGACTTTGCTGTATTCATCATGAAAGGCAAATGGTTGAAGCTGTATTGTAAACGGAGGGGTACCAAAATAATGTGTTAAGTGTATTGTTATTGATTAGTCATAATTAGAAAAAAACACTAAGTTCATTCTTAATGTAACGCTGTTAAAGAAATCCAAATGTTTATAACCAGAATAAATCTAAATCATCTGTTTGACACAAAAAATAATACAAGCTAATGAACAGTGTTTTCCAGCACACTTTATAGAGAGGATAAAAAAAGTGTGAGAGGGAACGAGACAACAAGCTCTGTCAGAGGACTTGTTTGTACTGCCCTTCCAATAGCTCTTGGCATAATAATGTGCAGTAATTGCTGATAAATGGAGCCTGAATAGCAAAATAAAAACTAAACACTGGATTTTAGCTCCTTGTCTAGTTTTTTAACATGAGGTTCAGTGTGTGATATAGCCGATGATTATTGATCATGAATTTCAGTGAGCTTTTCTATTCTGGGTTCTAAAGCAAAAGAACATCTGGGACTGAATTACTTTGTGCCAGATAAGCTTTCTGAATATTTTTTTAAATTTTGTTTAGTTTTCATTGTTTTGCTCTTACAAGCTACCCTGCTTTATATAGCTTTGATTGAGAAATACCATTTGTAGTTTTTTCTAGGGATCATGCTACTGTCTCTGAGTATTAATAAAAAATTGCAAACCATTGCAACATCCACACAAACTTCCCTCATTCACCATCTGAACTACCTATTAGATGATATCCAAGTGCTTGTTGATAAGGTCATCAAGTAATAAGAGAGTCCAGCTTCCAGGAAAGGAACACATCCAATCCTTCTTACCTTGAAAGACTATCATTAATTTGATATTCTGTGTATGTGTTGTTCTGTGTATATATCTTAGAATAATTATGAAGTGTATCTGGTGTTGAAGAAGCTCTTTTTCTCCTCTAAACTGGCCACAAACAACAAACTCTTCCCACTGAGTTACCTGCTCAGTGATGCAGCGCTGACTGGCATTACTGCTGTAGCTGAGGAAAACAGATAGCAAATGTGTCTCAGATGGACATCACATGCTAATGGGCCTGACTGTCATAACATGTTGACACAATCATTTCACTTCTGATGCTAAGAAAGTGGGAATAGTATCTGTTCCTTCAAAGAAGATGCAACTCATTTGCAGACCCTCAGTCTGACCATACAACTACTTAACAAAAATATTCTCAATAAGGCCACGCAAGAGAAGCATAGACCTCCAGATGCTGGTACACTCTCGGCTCAGAACTGGCATTTCACTTCAGTCTTAGAGATTCCGGCTGGGATGTAATTTTGGGGCAGTATTACATGCAGAAACACTGGTACCAACATTCAGAACACACTGAAAAACTTTCTTGGTCTGTTTGACCTGACATTTAGGACATTTAGAATACTCCTGTGCACATTTGCTACACAGCAGAAGAAAAAGAATTCAGAATGAATTCATCAATATGTATTCCTGCTGCGTTGTACAAATCTTCCTGATCCTTGCTCTTTTTACCTCAATTTAAAAAGGCGTCAGATCTTGTATTGCACTGACACACAGCCACTTAACAGTCTCAAAACTATTAGTCTACATTCACCTAGTTTTCTTCAATCAGATACACCCCATCAGCACAGTTTACATTTTTTCATACCCATAATATTCAGTAAGTAGCTTATAGCCTTATTTTTCAATGAAAACTGTGATTTCAAAGAAAGGGGTATTTTAAAGTTGTGCTAAGATGATTCATGCTATTATATGTGGTTTCTGAACCTTTAGTTTTAAACCTTTAAATGACTTTCAATAGAAAAGAATCACTGTCCACTGCACTACTCTCTAGATTAATTGAGGTAATATATAAAAAACCCTACCCTATGTCTCTTTGAAATGACATGATTATCAATATTTAGTACTCCCTTTGTTTCACAAGTGCCACAAAAACTAAAGAAACTCCTTAAAATAGGAACTTTTACTTGCTTTTATGTTGTTCTATGAGTCTCTGCAAGCACAGACGTACTGATTAAAGAACTGGTGAGGCAAATGAGATGTTTCCCGTTCAGCAGAGATTAGAGAACTCAAGTTTCAAATTAATCTTACAATTACTTTTGTCATGTTTTGAGTAATATAATATTACCTACCGTTACACCTCTTCTGAAACGGCCAAGGGAAGTACGCATGTCACTGATTGCAAGCTCCATTTATTGTTGAATCAACTAATATTTGTGTTAGTTATCTTGTTCACCTGTAAAAAAGGAGAAATTTTTGATAAACATGGAAAAGATTTAGGGATAACAACTCATTCCAGTGTAAACTCTGTCAATATACCAGCTTTTTTCAAACAAGACAGACTTAATGCTCTTCTGCTGTTAATGTACTCAACCTCACATTAAAAGGCCAGAAAACTTAATTGTTAATGACTTTGTGAGCATAGTAGAGAAAGAAATGTCTTGAAAAGGAGCATGCTTTCCTTTTTATGCCTTCATTTTTTAGGGGTTTTATTTTAATATATTAATGCTATCATGGAATTGGAAAAATAAATTTTTCTGGTCTTCCATGTCTTAAAGGCTGCTCCTAAGATTAACTCAGGAACACAAAGTTATTTAAAAGTCAAATGATTTTATGAACATAGAGCTATGATTTTACGAACTAGAGCTGAGAGCTTTAAGGAAAAAATCCCTTAGAAAATAGCTAGCCACTATAGATAGCCACTATACTACAGCAGGAGCAGGTGTAAGTTGGATGGTAGTAGGAAGTATTTAAAACTTCTTACTGTTACAAACACTGCTGCCTGCCATTAGTTCCAATTTGCAGTCTGCAAAACAAATGATATTTCAAGAAGATGGAGTGAATGTTAGAACATATATGCCTCCATCATGCCAGCTGTGGGGAGAGTTCAACACATTATACTTTTAGTCCTGAAGAGGAAGAGGTGCCTGCAGGGACATAGAGGAGACTGAATATCAATTGAGAAAAGTTACTTTATTAGTAGTTCTTCAGTATAACAGAAAAGTAAAATTAATGAGTTAAGAGGAAAAGGCACTGACAGTCCCTTAAGGGGTACAGATGCTTGTGGGAATGAGTCATATCACTTAGGGGAGTAGCAGTCTGGATGTACATAGATTCTCTTTATCTTTGAACAAAGAAGGGATAAAATACAAAAGGGACATTATTCTGCAGAGGTAAAAAGGATATCAGAACCCAGAGGAATGTATATATTTTTTCAGAAAGGCTGGTTCAGAGGAAAAATTGCCACCATCTAGTTGTTCTTTTATTATGCTACTTTATGGAAATATAAGTGAACAGCATAGACTGCAAATTTAGCATCATAAATAGTGTGAAGATTCAGAGTTGGAGATAACCTTGTTATCTTGCTCTGTCTTCCTATGCTCATTTCAAATCTCATTAAAATGTGTCATGACTAAAGGAGAAAAAAAGTCTTGTTTATACCTCCCTCTGTCATTTTGGGTTTGCTTTTTTCTTTTTTTTTTTCTTCCTCTGGAGATATCCAGCCAGAATGCTAAAAAAACTTTTTGCATTTTTTTCCATGCTTCTCTTTCATTTGCCTGCTCATTTCTTATCACAGTTCTGTATCTTTAGCCCACTGAAGTTCTGGTGAGAGGGAAAGCAGGCAAACTGCATTACTGTGGAGCTACAGCTTCCAGGCCACTCAGTGTCCAGAGCTTTAGGGAATCTCCTGCCATGTAGCAGAGTGACACACGTCATCTCTACTTTTGACCTAGGTTTGCCTTTCAGATTGATTCACACATGGCCTGTTCTGTAAAAACCAGTTGTTTCACCCTTGCTTGAGCCTGTTACGTAATAAGAATCCACATCTGATGCAGAAACTGCTGGAAACCAGCTCAGGCAGACATGGGACTGCTGTAGGCCTGGCTGCAGCTGAATTGCATTTTTTAGAGATGACAGTGAAAAAAATGTCAGTCATGGATACAACATCCGATAGAGCTGTGAATGCTGCTGTAGCTGTAGCTGTTGCCAACTGACTACATTTTTTTTCAGTGCTGTGAGACAAAGGAGAGAGGGAAGAAAAGAATACTGCCTTCGACTTGCATATTAATGGAAACTAATTTTACATTTCAAATCTTCTTCAGAAAATTCCAAGGGAGCGATACTATGTTTTGCATTTGCTGATTTGTGTTTTATGCTTGAAGTCCTACAAGTGGTAGATTGCCTGCATGTTTAATCCATGTAGTACTGTGCTCATTACAAGAATATAAAGAGGAAGAGATATTATCTGGTAGAGATTCATACTAATCTTTAACTCACAGAATTATCTGAAAACTGTGATCCTTCCTATAATGGACTTTCAGAGGTAAAAGAACTATTCTTTTCTTTCAGTAGCAGGATACTACAAAACCAGGCACAGGTTTTACTTTTTTTTCTCTTCAGAATTTCTCTGAAGCTTAGTGCAATGAATTACTTCATGACTTTAGTAGCAAGTCACTGAAGCCTGTGAATTGCTTGCTTGGCTGGCTAGGTAATTTTGTTCTAATTGCTGCCTTTGTCCTTAAATAGAATATATTCACAAAGTACTGATATCTATTCTATTTTTAGTATATGAAGCCTGTGACTTACAGGCCAGGCCATCTAATTCCACAATCACTCTTCACTTCAGTAATACTTGGTTTGGACCTGCAAGAATTTGACTGATTTTGGAGAAAACTTCATTCTTCTACTGCTTTGAGGGTATGCTATTAGAAAGTGCTCACTCAAAAATAAGGAGACACTCAGTAAGGTGAGCAAATGTCACCTAAAGTCTCTCTTCCCCAAACTCAGAGACAAAGACAGAAGTCAAAAGGGCAGGCAAGAGTGAGACACCAAAATTCTTTGCAGTGTGGAAGAGGCAGGGAAAGAACAGATGACCTCCTAACTGCCCAGACCACTGTGGTCTTTACAAGTCAGAAACCATCCCAAGAAGTGCCACTCAGATACTCATTTCTATTTCTGGTCTCAACCTCACCAGTCAAAACAGCCCTATGGCACTCTGTTCACTGCCAAATGTTTCTGTCCCTTTCACTTTCAGCTACATCTGGAAATGTTTAATGTGGCACTGCAAAATGACTGGCAAAAAAATTCAACAGCATTATTTACGACGGTACTTTGATGTTTTATTGAATGCAACCATCTGTTCAGCAATGTTTTCCAACGTTGTGGGCTAGATCTAGAATTTACTGCTGCAATATAGCTTGTCTGAGGGAGTTTCACAGCAGGAATGCCACCCAATGTATCACAGATATGTGAGACTCTGGGTAAGAGGAATATTGAGAAAGTTCCTATTTCTTCCCATAAAACAGAGTCAACTGATTTCTTGATGGTGAAGATTCAAAAGAGTTTCAATTTTTTTTACTTTACAGTCTGAGAGCTATATTCTATGTGTGCTGTAAACTTGTGATTCAGGATATTTCCTAAATTACTTCAATGGCTCACAGGACATATACTTGTGGCTGATGGCAGAATGCACTATAGCCAGATTTATGGGCATTTTATAAAGATATTGGTAGCAGACAGAATATATAACAAGATGGCATTTCATTACCTTTTTCTTTTCTGCTGTTAGAAATGGGACTTCTGTGTTGAGAAAAATAAATGTTGGCCTTTTCTTCACCCTCTGAATTGCTTGTTACTTTGAGGTGAAACAAGAGGCAGCTGCTGATAGAAGTCACATTTTTTTGTTTCTTCTTAGTGTTTGGAATTTTAAGGATATATTCCAGAACTGGTTTGGAATAGGAGATGATGAGTGTTTTCTCTTGAAACCAAACTATAAAAGAAGAGTGAAAATGTACAATGGCACATGGGCATCGCCATTACCTGTTATTTAAACACTCAAATAACTAAGGAAGGACCAAACAGCTTTGTAGTGTGCCTTTTCTGCAAATTGGCCCATGTAAGCATTATCAGGGATTGTGCAGGGCAAAGGAAAAGCTGTCTCACAAATCTTTCTACCAAGTTACTTTTCAGAGGATACTGTTCATTCTAATCTTTTTTCTTTCACAGAAACTCCTTGTCCCTATGCTTTTACTATTTACCACTTACTTATATCAGAAAATGCAAATCATGGTAGGGAGATTAGAGAATGCATTCTGAGGATGTGAGAAACAGATCTCACATTATAACACCCCTGCATGAGTAATTTACCTCCCTTGACTACACTGCCATCACAGCTGTCCCGAGCTTCACATTGCCATGACTACACTGTAACTTGCACCCAAGCAACTACCCTAAAGCTAGTTCAGATGTGACTACAAGGTACTGGAGGGCACAAACAGACTTACTGTGCACTGGGTTCACTGCTAGTGTCTCAGCAGCAGCAAGTGGAGACATGATCACAGCCAAGGCAGTTGCAGCCTTACAGATAACAGCATTACTAGGAGAACCCTAACAATGGTCCTTTCTCATGATGTAGGACTCTTTCCCATGAAATCAGATTGTAGACTGGGTAGGAAACAGCAGGACGGTATGGCTGCCACTTAGCTCAATTCAGAATATGTTTGGTAGTGTCAGATCTATTTACGTATATATATATGTGTAAGTCTAAAATTATAAAGAGCAATCTTAATAATCTAAAGTGTTCATCTAGCTCATCATCTCAGTAATACTCCACATATTTTTTCCCTTTATTGATTGTTCAGCTTTGTGATGCAAAAAGATTTCACATTTAGATGTCATTGCCGATAGTCATCAGTGTAAAGGAAAGCATTCTGACAATCTGAGGATTTTTTTCCTCCAAGTCCATTCAGAAAACATTGCTGTGGTTCTCTAATGTAGTTAAGATCAAATAGAACTGACAGCACTGAACACAGTGTATGAGACTAATAAATGCCATAGTGCAATCACTACCTAATAATGAGCATTGTAATCATATGATGACTTAAGAAATATACATGCTTAGAGTGTTAATCATTGTAGATATGTACATGCTAGGCAAGTGGATTGGTATTCAGGATAATTCTTCATCTACACATGGGTTAACATTTGCTATAAATTATCTCTGCTTGCATCTGTTTATATTTTGTTGGTGTATCACATTTGTGTCAAAGAATACATATGTCAACCTTTGTTATTATTTCTGTAGAAGCCCTATAATTAGTGCTTTCAGCACTTTTAATGTTATAGTCATTGTCTATAAGCTGCTTTAAAGCATGAAGATGGAATTGTTTTCTTTTATGAGAGTATTATTTTCTGCTATGTCTTAATGTTGTGCATGACTTCGGTGAAGACAGTTTCAAAAAGATGCTTTGGGAAAGATCATAGTTTCTTTCTGCATCAGGACAGGCTTTGGCTGTCAAGGTAGAGATTCATGACAATTATTTCATAGCTCCTGAAATATGAAAGTATGTAATCATACAGACTCACTCAACTGTGAAATAAATGTTGTGAGAGATGTAGTCAGAGTTTAGAGAGTGGTGATAAAAAAAATAGAGCTTCATCTGAGAAAATTACTCAAAAGTACTCAGCAAGATGATATACAATACTGACTGCACTGAGATTGTGGCTATTTAAGAATGATAGGGTTATTGTATCTCCCACCATTTCTTTTCTGCCTCTGTGCTAGAAGAAAAGTCTTGAAAGAATCTACAGTTTGACAAAGCTTTACACAACCTGGATATATTGCTGTCTTTAATTTACTGGCAACCCATCCTCAGGTCATTCTCTAATACCCACTAAGCTGCTTTGGGTTTTAGCTTATTGCATTTGAATTTAGTGTACACACAAGTGCAGAGCTTACTTTCCTACCTATAACACAGTCAAACTACAGTAATATTTCCTTTAAAACTACTCTCCTGACTATACTCATTGCTAACAAATTATCGTGGTATTTCAAGCAAAAGACAGAAAGTTTGACAAATCATTACCTCTTGAGGATCTGTGAAACAGCTATAAATTCACTGGCTTACTCATCTGTAGCTCAGTTCCTACTTGTCTGTAACTATTATGCTACTAAAGATCAGACACCTATTAAACCATAGTGCCAGGTTCTAGCCTACGATTCTGACAGGGTTTGTGCCACCTGTATTCTTACAGTTTCACAGGGAACCAAGAGCCACATGAACTGAAACAGCCACTTACACTGAATTATTTTTGGTTATTACAGTGTTTAAATATGGAGAGGCAAGAGTGTTTCTAGAGATGGAAATCTCTATCTGTATACAGTTGAATCACAGGATTTTTGTAACTCAGAACATCACAATATGAAGATGGGAAACAGTTTTCTTGCCAATTATCAACAACATCTGCAGAAATTAAAGTGTCTGACACAATTTCTGATAGTGTGAAATATAGCTTTTTTAAAAAATATATCATTTTTTTAAAAAGCTATATTTTACCTTAAAGATATGAGATATTCCATGTATATTCTCTAGCACTTTGCATTTACAAGCTAGGGGTATGGCTTCCAGGCAGGGGTGATTCACAGACTCTGCAAAACAAGAAGAGGAATAAATATCTGAGAATGAGATTCTATATGGTTACATGAGTAGGATCACATATAAGCCAGATTATACACATTCAAGAAATGACTGTGCATCAAATGCCACATCTTTTTACAATGTGAAGATCACAAATTTGGGTCTGTCTCATGGAAGCATAAGACAGTGACTCTGCCTGTAATCAGTGGTCACAATAATTACTTTAGCAATAGAGTTGATACCAACTTTAAAGTGCTGGTAACATTTCACTTTTTACAAGTAGGATGTGAATATAACAGTTAACATGAACATGCCCTCATTTTTGGACAACCTTTGAACTCAGAGGATAGAAAAGATAGACAAGGCAAAAGGAGCTGGTACTTTTGAAAAGTGTGAGAATCACTTTGGTTGATTTTTCACTATCTGTATTTAGCAGAAATATTCTTCCAAAAACCTACTTCACATTGAATATTGTCAGTGACACCTAGAAAAAAAAATGTCATTCAACAGAGTACAAAAGTCTCCAATAATAAAGCCATTTAAACCAGTAGGATGATTACAGTGAGGGCCATTTTTCTTGACGCAAAGTTGAACATGACATGCCGAAGTGTCATACTGTTTTGTTTAAAGGGCATTAGTGTGATTTGTACAGTGAAATCTAAATAAATTCCTTTTGTATTAATTTTTAGTCAGATGGTATCTGTGACCTCAAGGAATAAAGGATGTATGTCTATGGAGAACTGCTTTAGTAAAAGCTTTACTCACAGCCAGTGAGCTTTTATGATTCTTTTCTAGTTATGTGCTTCTCTTTTCTCCGCCCAGAAAAAATGATCTTTCCCCAGATTAGACTTCATGCATACTTTTAGAGGTGAAATAAAGAGAAGAAATGAAGAGGTCTACAGATTCTGGCAAAATAAAACCCTAAAGGGCTTTCAATAACTAAACACCTTTCTTGGAACAGTGCTAAACAGGTCTCAGAACTGAACATGAGGTAAGCATACCATCTTTAGGAAGTCTTCACTTGAATTCTCTTTAGCTTCCACAGAACACAAGACAAAAATCTCAGGTGATCTCCATGCCTTTTCTTTACAAGAGGGAAGAGTGCCAGTGGTTTACTGTATTCTCTCCTGTTAAGTCTTTAAGGAAATTCAGGGATTAAAAAATCCAGAGATTAATGGAAAATATATACACAGCTGGAAATTTCTCTTAAGCCGTAAGTCACATCCCAGTGATAGAGGCCTAAAGATGTTGAGGTGACATCAACCATATAAAGCTGAAAAATTCTTATTCTGAAGACCTCTATAAGTTGCAGGGCAACTATGAAGGGGTCAGCTCACCTTAAGCAGCATTCAGTTCAGCTCCATTGTTCCCTGGAAGCCTACACCTGTAACTTTCCATGCATCCAGGACTGACCCAGTGTGCTACCTTAGCTCCATGATAATTTTCCAGCTAGGGCTGATAGGACCTTGGCATCATGTTCTCTGAATTACCTTGGCATTTAGTAGAATTGTAATTTTTAGTTTTTAGATTTCTGCTCTTTACATACCAGGTAGGTTACTGGCTTCATGGGCAGAAAATTTAGAATCAATTAATTGCTGGAAGGAGTTGGTTGGGTTGATTGGGCATCACTCAGCAAAGGTGTCAGGGTGTGAGATACACATTAGGCTAATCCAATTTGACAGGGTGGAAGGTTTTGGAATGGAAGTTTACATTTCTTCTCCCTCTCTCTCTGTCTCCCTCTCCCAGTCTGCAATGTACATATGGTTCTTGGTTTTTTCCAAAGAGCTTTTTTCTAGCTGTACCTACTAGATATCACCCTTAAAAAAAATATACTCAAATGCTCCTTGAGTAAAATATTCACAGCACAACACATATATTGAGATAAATAAACAACTTCTTGTCACATCTCCTACTGATTTGAACTGACCTTCATAGAAGCAGAATAGTTTGGGTTGGAAGTGACCTTTAAAGGTCACCTAGTCCATATTTTGAAGATGTCCCCAATAAGCAGGGACATCTTCAAAAAGATCAGGTTGCTCAGAGTCCCATCTAGCCTGACCTGGAATGTTTCCAGGGATAGGTCATCTACCACCTCTCTGGGCAACCATAATGTCTTTTCTCAACCACTGTTGTTGATGTTGCTGTGTGTGTTGTACTAGTACAACTGTTTGGTGGATTTTGCTATAAAATGAAATTCAAATTACTCCTGTTAAAAAAAAAAAAAAAAGTCCAAAGGGGTTGTTTACAAAGATGAGGCATCTACAACCTCTCTTGACAACCTGTTTCTGTGTTTCACCACCCTCATGGTAAAAAATTTCTTCCTCTTATCTAACCTGAACCTACCATCTTTCAGTTTAAAACAAATATCCCTTGTCCTATTGCTACAGGCATAACTAAAAGGTCTGTCCCCATCTTTTTGTAAATCCCCTCAAAGTACTGAAAGATCACAAAAAGGTTTCCTTGGAGCCTTCTCTTCTCCAAGCTGAACAACTTCAGCTCTCCCAGCCTTTGCTCATAGAAGAGACGTTTCATTCCTCTCATAAGTGGTTTGAAACTGCAACAACACACAGAGTATAAATGATGAATCCAACACTGTGACTGCAAAAAATAACTGAAAATATTGCTATCTAAATGAATTCTGTGCTTTAGTAAAACTACAGATATTCTGCTATATCATCTATGCAGTTATGAATAATATAAATACAAAGGATGATCCAGTGTTAACAGTTCTTCCTGATAGTCTCATATGAAGCCTGCAACCTGAGGTTCATTTATAGAGGAGTACACTTTGGAATTGAAGAGTGACTTGGAAATGTTATGAGAAACTTCCTCTGCTTAAAAAAAGGCATAAAGCAGGCAGACTGCAGAGCACTGAAGTCATCAGTCAAAAAGCATGAGATTGCTGCCCCATTATTGGTGCTTTCTGAGCTTTCAGTCTTAAATACATATACGGAGAACCCAAAGTACTCTGGCTTATTTCAGACTAAAAAGGACCAGCCATTCACAGTGAGAACATTTCATCCTTTCAGCAGATATTCAAAACTGTTGGACTATTTACATATAACAGATGTGGCTCTATCCATCACCTTTTTAACTTTCTTTTTTGTTTGAATGATATTTAACACAGCAAATATGTTATAGGAAAATTTGTCTGAGTGCCTGGTTTCCTATTGGAAGTAATAGTGGTGATAGAAAGCATAATTATTTGGGCCATGGCAAAGCTTTTTTCTTTTTTCCTTTGAGCATGAAGCATGAAATGTAGCTAGAAGTGGGATGTTATCTTGTGGTCCCCCACATAATTTCCTTTCTGTACTGAGGCATTAGAGAGAAGTTGTGGGCAGACTGGTGTCCATGCCATTAGTTGTCAACACCCATTATAGTGCTCATACACACAGAAATCATGAAAGCGCAAGTGCTAAACAGACCAGGATTTAGAGAGGCAAAAATGTGGTGATAATTACTTGTATCTTTGTACCAGACTTCTGTTGTACTGCCTTGCATATAACTACCATTACATGTAAGTAGTCTTTCTGATAATATTTTACATCAACACTGGAGTTTTCAGTGTGAAATTTTTAAAAATGGTTTTTATTTAAAAAAATCTTTGCCTAGGCAGGTTACATGGATGGTTGGGAAATATTATTGCATTGCTCTATGATCACACTATCTATTTTAAATGAATGGCATCTATTTTAAGTATGTATTCTTCATTTCATAAGCTCAAATTAATTGTACATTTAAGTTCTGTAAAGTCAAAGCTATTTGAATACAGTTTGTTAGATTAATGTAAACACTGTCTTTCACAGAAAGAAAAATTGTCCAATTTGATAGTGGATAATATGATTTATGTTTATAAAATTCTCAATTAAACACGTAGTTATGCCGACATACTGCAATTTCTTCATATGATGACAATTCGTTCCAGAGAAAAACTAATTGGAGGAAGATTGAAATTAATTATTTGTAGCATGTCATATTTTTTCTTAATAATTTCTCCTAATAAAGAGATTAACTTTTGAAACCTACTCCAAAATATGGGATATTATGTAAACTATCATGTATTAAGAAAAAGGAATCTCAAATTGTACTCCATTTGGTACAAAAATCTAAACATGATGCATTTCAGCACTAATGTTGCTCTGTTGCAGTTTGCTTCATTTGGGTCAGTTAGTTCAAAGGTTTGATACACAGGTATTCATGGGTACTTGAGAGTCATCTGAATATGTTCCATGTTGCAAGCTATTAAAAAATTCCTTTTTCATCCCTAGCTGCCGTACAGCACAGAAAACATTAAAAATGTAGCATTTTACTCTAACAATGAAGATAGCTTAGAAATCTCCTGCCTTCCATATTCTGCTTTTTGACACAGAATCATAGAATCACAGAATGGTTTGGATTGGAACGGACTTTTAAAGGCAATCTAGTCCAACCCCCCTGCAATGATTAGGGACACCATCAACTAGATTGGGTTGTTCAAAGCCAGGTCCAACCTGATCTGGAATGCTTTCAGGGACAGAACATCTACCACAGAACATCTACCACTCTGAGCAATCTGCTCCATCACTGCTTCTCTCAACTACTGTTGTTCATTATATTGATGTGTATGCTGTATTAATACAACTGTTCAGGGATGGTGCTATAAAGTGTAATTCAAATGATCCCTGCTTAAAAATAATAACAGCAAATCCAAAGACATTTTTTTAGATCAGCTGAGTGCTCTGATTTGCAGTGCCCCAAAATAATATAGTTTTGTGAGAACGACATAGGGAGAAGGGTGAAGGTCTGACTATAGCTGAGAACAAGGAGGATGCAAGAAAGTAAAGGACAGTATTTCTTGGGGTATCTCATTCCTGGACAAAATTTATCCAACACTTATATACTCAGTTTCCTCACTGAACATACTGTCAGGCAAGTTTGTGGTGATGGAGGACTCTTTCTCTCTCTCTTTGTCACTACCTGATAAGTTTTAGATGCTTTTTCTTCCTGTACGCTGGGAAACCCTGATCTTTTAACTTGAGAAGAATGCCTGAGAGCCCTCAAAGTAATTTCTGGGCCAGACTGCTGTGCCTGCCTTCAGTTATGTCAGACACTTAAATGTGACATATGTGTCTTTGGCCTCTCATTTCGTGGTAGCCTTAGTCCTACTTCACAATAAGCAATTAGTTTTGCTTAAAAAGGTATTGTAGGTGAATACATGCATATAAATATGTCTCATTTTGACCCTCTTTTAGAACTTAATGATTTGGTCATTCTCTGGGGTTGCCCAATTGCTCCAAGGCTATAGAGTTAACAGAACATTTTTGATGCTAACCCAAAATAGAAGCATGACTAAGAAGGTGTTGTACAGCAGCAGTACTGTGATAACCCTGTTGGCTACTCAGTCTTGCAGATAGATAGTTGCCTTGTTAATTTGTATTTAACTGCACACTCTACCTATATTTTTCCATTACATTATCTCTATGTCATCTGCTGCTGTATTTCTTGTTCCTTGTTGAGTCTTCTTGCCTGAAATGGATGAAAAATCACCAGTCGTAAGGAATTTATTCCAATATTTACTACTGTCTAACTAGGAGGAATAAGCAGGAGAGATTTGGGAGAAATTGGTTTGGATTTGCTTGTGTCATTTCTGCTGTCTTAAATCTCTAGCCAAATCCTGCCATTCTCACTTCAGTTCCCATGAGTGAAATTTACAACTTTCAGGTTTATTTCTTACTGTTGTTCTACACAGAATCACAATAACAATTATTTAGTTCATTTGATAAAAGCAATACAAAAGCAGTGTGTTCCCAGTAATATGTCGTTGTTCAGTGTTCTTTCAGAAGTGATGACTAATAACCATAAATCAAAGTAGATAAGAATAAGGGAAATGGCTGTCAAATCTGTTTTCTGAAAATAGATCTCCCTAAGTATAGTTAGGAATGATTTAGAAAAAAATGAACATTGGATTTTCTTTTGTACCCTCAATCTTAAAATGGAATATTGTTAAGGTGATTATCCTGCCACAATTAGCACCTTTCAAAAAGTAATGTCTTTCATTAAAAAAAATACACTTACATAATTGGAACACCTGCCAGAAGTAGGAAGTCTTTTTTCTTGCAGAGGTGAAGCAGGTGTTTACTCACTCTTCCTATTTTTTATTGATATTATTTTTATGTTGGTTTACTTTCCTTCTAAAGTGCCATTTCATTCTCTGAACCCATAATGTGCTCTCCAAACCTGTAGATGAAAGAAAACAGAATTTTACTTAAATAAACAAGAAAAAGCACTACTGCACTTTTTCAACACATACATTAAGAAAATTTTTTAAAAAAGAACTTTCCTACCTAACATATATGCCCGAATCTCAGAAACTTGGAAACCAGATGATCCTATTCTTTACCTCAATGATTTTTGAAGAATGTCATTTATTTATTATGAGACATTTGCTGGCAAAAGTGGGGAGGAATAGTAGCATTAGTTGTGAATTTCCTACTACTTGACAATTAAATTATACCATTTGGACATTGCTCAAAATCTCTTGACATAGCTACAGCAGGTCCCATCCACTGACATTAGAGAGCTGGCAATTCAATGACAGCAGAAAAAGGGGTCTAAAATGTTTGATTGCAGTGATGTGTAGCTGCTTCAGTAATTACAATGTCACAGCAAGGTTATGAGACTTTTCCATTTTTAACAATCTTAATGGGTTTAGGTCCTGAAGTCCTTATTAAATTACAGACAATTGGATTTGTCAGTTTTAGGCTTAGCCTATATATCTGAGATGGAGAAATAAATGGTAATGTGATCTATCTTGGGAGTTAAATTGGATGCTGCTAGTAGTATCAGTACTAATAAAGCCAGTTGTGTAACACATAAGTATGTTCTCTGTGCAGAGTTTTTAAGTGTAATACTGTCACTGGCTGAAAGTTTCTGAAGCAGTGAAACTGCTTAGTTGTCATTTCTCCATAATGACAAATTGTGAATAAGTGCCTAATTAAAATTTACATGAAGAATTTGAAAAATAATTTCATAAGAAGGATAAAAAATTGGTCTAAGTTTAAGGAACATATAAAAATAATTAATTTTACACTTTTTACAGTGTTTTCCAAAACCTGAACATCTCTGAAATTTTATAAGCTGTCATGGGATATTTGTGTCTTGCCTTTTATATACATGTACAGCTGCGTTGGGCAGGGCACGTCTCCAGGATGCAGGACTATCGCCTCCCTAAGATCGTGCTCTATGGGGAACTTGCCACTGGCTGCCGCAAGAGAGGAGCCCGAAGAGAAGATACAAGGACTGCCTGAAACAATCCCTCAGCCTTGGCCATATTGATCACCACCATTGGTCTACCCTGGCCTCCAATCGGGAGGCCTGGAGACACACCATCTATAACGCTGCTGCTGCTTTTGAGAACACACGCAGGATCACTCTCGAGGAGAAAAGACAACGCAGAAAGAATTGCGTCTCGTCTGTATCACCTGGGGAGTCTTTCTGCTGTGCCTTCTGCAACCGGACTTGTCTATCTCGCATTGGCCTTTTTAGCCATCAGCGCGCTTGTAGCAAGCGTGGGTAGAGCCCTCCTTAAATCTTCATTCGCGAAGCCTATTCATGAGTGATGAGACACTGCCCAAATAACCAAGTAATCTTGAGTTTGCTGCTTTAAGGAAAACTGCCTACAGAAAAGTAATAGCAGGAGTAAAACCCAGAAATTACTCTTTTTATGATGCTTATTTCAGATAGGCATTTTTGTATCTTTGCAGGTTCTGGGGTCCATCAGTGCTGGCCACTTTTCAAACATCACCTCCTAAAGGCAATTAGGAGGTGCTCCACAGTAGCAGGCAATTCCTAAATGCTGGAAGTCAAGCAGTGAGGCAGAAGGTCAGCTTTGCTGATCAGGGATCTTCTCTTGGAGGCAAGGAAGAAAACCAAAAGGTGTATGCCCAGTGGAAGCAAGGTGAAGTGACATGGGAAGAATACAGAGATGCTGCTTGCTGCTGTAGGGAGAAAATTCATGTGGCCAAAGCTCAGCTGGAGTTGAAGCTGGACAGAAATGTGGGGGACAATAAAAAGAGTATTTTCAAATATATTAATGGTAATAGGCAGTATAGAAATATTCATCAGCCTATCACAGGATGAGGATGGCCACCTCACAAACAGGGACAGAGACAAGGCAGAGGTGTTTAATGCTTTCTTTGCCTTTGTCTTCAACAAGGGTGACGGACAAAGGGAATCTCAGTGCCCTGAGCTGGAGGACTGTGACTGCAAGAATAATCAACTTTCAATTGACCTGAACTTGGGTGAGATCTGTTGCTCCAGCTGGATCCCTAGAAATCTATGGGACCTGATGGGATTCATCCCAGAATCCTCAAAGAGCTGGCTGATGTTATCGCAAAGCCTCTCTCAATTTTTGAGTTGTCTTGGGAATCTGGAGGGGTCCCAGCTGACTGGAAGCTGACAAATGTTGTACTAATTTTCAAGAAGGGAAAGAAGGATGACTCCGGAACCTACAGGCCTGTCAGTCTCACTTCAGTGCCTGGTAAATTATAAAGAAGATTATTCTGGGAGGTACTGAAAAACACCTGAAAGGCACAACCAGCATGGTTTCATGAAAGGGTAGTCCTGCTTATCAAACCTCATTCCCTTTTATGATAAGGTAACCCACCTAGCTGACCAAGGGAAGCCAGATGATGTAATCCTTTTGGATTTCAGTAAAGCTTTTGATACTGTCTCTCACAGGATCCTTCTGGACAAACTGTCCATCACACAGCTGGATAAACACATCATGGGTTGAGCACAGAGGGTAATAGTGAATGGGGTAACATCAGACTGGTGACCTGTCACTAGTGGGGTCCCACAGGGCTCCATCTTAGGCCATGTGCTCTTCAACATCTTCATAAATGACTTGGATGCAGGACTGCAAGGGATACTAAGCAAGTTTGCAGATGACACAAAACTTGGAGAAGCTGTTGACTCCCTCGAAGGCAGGGGGGCCCTGCAAAGAGGCCTTGACCAATTATGGGACTGGGTAATCACCAACCATATGAAGTTCAACACGGCAAAGTGCTGGATTCTGCACCTAGGATGGGCAACCCCAGATGTACATACAGACTGGAGAGTGAGATGCTGGAAAGCAGTACCATGGAAAGATGGAAAGCAATACCTGAGGATCCTGGTTGATGGCAAGTTGAATATGAGTCAGCAGTGCCCTGGCAGCCACGAGGGCCAACCGTGTCCTGGGGGGCATCAGGCAAAGCATCGCCAGCTGGTTGAGGGACGGGATTGTCCCACTCTGCTCTGCACTGGGGAAGCCTCACCTTGAATATTGTGTGCAGTTTTGGGCAGCACAATATAAGAAAGATATCAAGCTATTAGAGAATGTCCAAAGGAGGGCAACAAAGACGGTGAAGGGCCTTGAGGAGGAGCCGTGTGAGGAGTGGCTGAGGTCACTTGGTTTGTTTATCCTGGAGGAGACTGAGGGGAGGCCTCATCACAGTCTACAACTTCCTCGTGAGGGGAAAAACGGGCAGGCACTGATCTCAGAGGAGGTTCAGGTTGGATATTAAAAAAAGGTTCTTCACCCAGAGGGTGGTTGGGCACTGGAACAGGTTCCCCAGGGAAGTGGTCACAGCACCAAGCCTGGCAGAGTTCAAGAAGCGTTTGGAGAGGGGTCTCAGGCACATGATGTGGCTCTTGGGGATGATCCTGTGCACAGCTAAAGGTGTAGGTTGTAGGTTCCTTCCAACTCAGCATATTCTGTGATTTGCACTGTTTTAACAAAAAAAAGGAAAAAGAAAAAAAAGCACAAACCCTGGTGCTTGCTCTTGTAAATCTATATTGTCTTTTAACTGTCAAGTATCAGAATTGTTGAACTTAATACTACCTGCATATAATACATTTCATTAAAAAGGAAAATGTAGAAGGCAATAATTCTGGGGTCAAGGTGGATTGAGCTATTCAATTTTTTGAACTTTTACTTCACATTTCTTACTCTGAATATATAAAATTGGTTAAATAAAAAAGCAGTTCTTACTCTGAGACTAATTTAGGACATAGAGAAATTACTTCCAAATGCACAAGTAATTCCTACTGTGATTATTACCCATAATCATGAACAACTTGCAAATCCTTTAAAATGTCCATTAACAAAATGTGCTTTCAAAATAGTGTTCTGAGAAATGACTGTACACTCTTATTTTTTGCAGAACTAGCTGCTGGTAATTTCTCCAGGTATACTTTAATTTTTAGAATTTATGATTTTTTCCATTGTTGTGTATTTTCATACAGCTGTGTTTTTTATTTATTTTTTTTTGTACTTTCCTTGTCTGTACAGAGACTAGCAGAACTAAACTATGGTGTAGTAAAAATACAATAACTAGAATGATAAAAGGCAAGGCAGTTTCTTATTGCAACTATGCTTTTAATGTCTAGTTAAAGTACTGTCAGACCATTAGTGAAGCTAGAGTGTGTCTTTGCCACCCCACTGAAGTAAATCTCTCTACATGAGATTTCCACTCAGTAAGGTACATCTGGAGAAGAAAAAAAATCCCATCCTTATTCTGCTTTAGGAAAAGACTGTCATCATAAGAGTACAGAATTGAACTACAAACTACCATGTTTTTTAGGTTCCTTTTTCCCTCCTTTGAAACCTATCCACCTACCTAGAGAATTCCTTTTAAGAAAAAAACATATTATAGGTAAAATAACCTATCTGCACAGTGACTTTGAGATTTTTTAAGATGAAAGTATACGCTCGTATCTTTTCTTTAGGATTATTTTTGTTCAGCTGTGTGAACAAACAAATAAAGCTATAAAAGTGAGAAGTAGGTGTTAGAGTCACCAGTGGAACTCGGGCATGGCACTATTGGCCACTGTCATATCAAACCATGGGCATAGAAATGTCCACGAGCAATACACCAACCACTTTTTGGCATTTGACCTCCTCATAGTGTAGAAAAAATGAAGGGATTCACAGGAGCCAATGTGCTGAAGGTAAAGATACCCCGAAGGAAGAGCTGATGAAGAGGGATTCTGCCTGACCTCTCTATGCCTGGAGAACTTAGATGTCTAATGTTGACACTAGACATAGATGCTTATTTTAATTTGGGTTTTACAAGCCTTAACTTCTCCTAAATTAGAACCATAAATCTTACAGTGACAACTTTATTTCTAGCACTTACCTTTTCTGCACTACTTCATAAGTCTTTCCTGTAGCAAAATCTTTCTTACACTGGTTCTTGGAACAAAATTTCTACCTCAGCAATGATCTTACAGACTTCCTAAAGAAAAGAAACTTGGAAAATGCAAAACTCTAGCATTATTTTTTCCCTGCAGGAATCATATAAATTGTACATGCTGTTATTGCAAACTATGGCTTTTCAACAGGTATCTTAAAATTACTTTAATTGTAAACCCAAACATTATTTTTATTTTCATAATCCTTATAGCTTGTTGCATGACACCAAGATTCTGATTCTGTAGAAGAGGAATACGTGAGAAAGATCAAATGCAGAATTTTTGCTTTCACATCGTTTTCAGTCTAGATTTCAGAACATTTACTATTCTTAGGTTAAAAAATTATATAAATTATAAAATTATGTATATTGTAAAAATGTAAAATTATATATAAAAATTATATTTGCACATTTGTCTAAGCATTACATAGCTAGCTATCTCTGATTATCACTCTACTTTTTGTTAGGTTATACTTAGTTAAATGCCTTGTTAGTTTAGGGAATTATGGGGGGTTTTCTTTACTAATGAATGACTTACGATTTAGTTTAATTCCCATACACCATCATACTACATCAACACCTGACTCTAATAGGTTTCACGCACCTATGTAGAATATTTGGCTTTAAAAGCTGCATAGTAAAGAAAGGCTGCATTTACATTACTTGGCATTATTGATAGGTAGCTAGAAACAAGCATTAACCCAGTGCCCAAGCACCCTATTTTCAAAAAATTTGCAATATAGACTGCAGAATTGTTTTACTGAAAAGACATTTTGATAATTGACCATTTAAAACTTTGTAGATACTAAAGCCATAATCATTATGATAAAAGAACAAGCAGTTGTTATTTGGTTAATGAATTAAACACTGAAAGTCCTAAAGGTCCCTGACAGCTTGGCAAATACTCACTCACTAGTATCTGGTTGTGTCAATGGCTCTGTCTATGTAAAATTGACTAACTGGAGATATAACAAAAGCTGGATATGTCAAAATCATAGAATCATAGAATATGCTGAGTTGGAAGGCACCATCAGGATCATCAAGTCCAACTCCTGGCACTTTTCAGGACACCCCAAGAATCACACTATGTGCCTGACACCATTGTTCAAACGCTTCTTGAACTCTGTCAGGCTTGGTGCTCTGACCACTTCCCTGGGGAGCCTGTTTCAGAGCTCAACCACTCTGTGGGTGAAAAATTTTTCCAAATATGTAGACTTAAACCTCTCCTGACACAGCTTCATGCTATTCCCTTGAGTCCTGTCACTGGTCACAAGAGCGAAGATATTGGTACTTGCTCCTCCTCTTCTCCTCATGAGGATGTTGAAGACTACAATGAGGTCTCCCATCAGTTTCCTCTTCTCCAGGCTGAACAAACCAAGTGACAGCTGCTGCTCTTAAAGCTTCCCCTCAAGACTCTTCAGCATCCTCATGACCCTCCTTTGGATGCTCACAAATAGCTTAATGTCTTTTTTATATTGTGGTTCCCCAAAGTGCACACAGTATTCAAGGTGAGGCTGCCCCAGTGCAAAGCAGAGTGGGACAATCTCCTCCCTCAACCCCTAAGTCCCTTTCTGGGCACTGCTTTCCAGCCTTTCGTTCCCTAGTCTATACACAGAACTGTATTTGTCCTCTCTCAGGTGTAGATTCTGGCACTTCCCCTCATTAAACTTCATACAGTTGGTGAATGCTCTTCTCTCATTTGTGGGGGTCTCTCTGCAGGGCCTCCCTGCCCTCAAGGGAATCAAGAGCTCCTCTCAATTTAGTGTTGTCATCAGACTTGCTTAGAATCCCTTCCAGTCCTGCGTCCAAGTCATTAATGAAGATGTTGAAGAGAACTGGGCTGAGGATGAAGCCCTGTGGAACCCCACTAATGACTGGATGCCAGTCTGGTGTTCCCCCATTCAGGATAACTCTTTGTGCCCCACCTGTGAACCAGTTCCTCACCCATTCAACTGAATGCTGGACATTTTGTCCAGAAGGGTACTGTGTGAGAGAGTATTAAAAGCTTTGCTGAAGTCCAAAAAAGCCAAAATGGCTTTCCTAGATCAACTAGGTGGATTACGTTGTCATAGAAGCAAATCAAGTTCGACAAGCAGGACTTCCCTCTCATGAAGCCCTGCAGGTTGTGACCTATGACAGCATTGTCCTCCAGATGTTTTTCAAAACTTCCTAGAATAATCTTCACCATAATTTTACCAGGCACTGAAGTGAGACTGACAGGCATATAGTTTTTGTGGTCCTCCTTCTTGCCCTTCTTGAAAACTGGGACAATGTTCTTCATCTTCCAATCAGCTGTGGCCTCTCCAGATTCCCAAGACAACTCAAAAATCATTGAGAAAGGTTTTGTGATGACATCAGCAGCTCTTTGAGGATTCTGGTATGAATCCCGTCCGACCTGGAGCCATAGATTCCATACAATGTCAGGGTAAACTGGCAGTTGATCATTCTTGCAGTCATGGTCCTCCAGCTCAGGGCACTGACCCTTGGTCCAATGATTTAAAATCTCTGGGACTAGGCCAAAGTTTTGAGCTCCTCTTGTTTGTTCCTCATGAAGCATGCATAAGTGTAGAAACATTTCAGGTGAGGTATTTTGTAGGTAACACCTTGTGAAGCAGATTAAGGGATCCCATGAGTACTCATTTCCTCAAGTTTTGGCACACCATCCCACTGCCAAGAGTGGCACTTTCCCTTTCTGCCTTCCAAGTTAATTTAAAGATCTATCAATGAGCCCTGCTAGTTCACGTGCTATAACTACTTTTTCCCTTTGAGAAAGGTGTATCCCATCCAGTGTCAGTAGACGAGTTGTTGAATAGATCATCCCATGGTCACAAAACCCAAAATTTTTCCAATTACATTCATTGACCTGATGGATCTGCCTATTCCTATCAATATTATTCCTTGTTACAGCAAGGATTGAGGAAATCACTACCTGTGCTGCTGATCCTTCAACCAACCATCCCAGGGCCCTGAAGTCTTTTGATTGCTCTGAGTCATTCGTGCTCCTTTAGAGACATTTAAATCGCCCTCACTGCTCCCAAAAATGTCTCCTCCACAACTGATTAGCTGCCAAGGGCCCCTGGACAGGGCTCAGGGCTGATGCTTCCTACAATATGTCTTGAACTTGGGGATATAGTGAGTAACATTAGTATTACCATAATAGATATAATTTAGAATTAAAGCTTACCAGAATTCTCACAATTTTATATTGTATTACTTTATGCCTCTGAAATCCACCCCTTTAAAAATAAATGTATTTATATTAGAATAGAAAAGAAATATATGCAATTTTTCATTGCAATGAAAGAGACATTAGTCTAAGGAAACATGGATTTTTTTAAAGTATGAGTATAACATTAGATGGCATATACATAATAATAAAAGACATAAGGTGCTGCAATTATTTTCTGTTGTTATGCTCAGAACAGAGAAATTTGTAGCTGCTAGGACATCTGTGTTTCTAAGCTTCTTAATTTAAAAAAAAAAAAAAATCCTCATCTGTCAGTTTAAAATGTCATGATTCCACTTGCAAATGGAGCATTTTAACTGGGAATAACAGAATAATAAGCAAGGGGAAAAGTCTATTAAAAACCAATGAAAATATTCCAAAATTCTCTTGTGAGTGGCTAAGGATTTTATCTATATGTCCTAGGATACATTTTCACTGTTCAAATGCATAAGGTATAGCATAACGTTTTCTCTATTTTCTGTATTCAGTGTGCCCTGGCAATATCAAGCACTGTGTCACTGTTTCCTATTACTATACATGTGTGTGTTTTTTCTTGCAGAGATGACAATTACAGAACTTATACTAAAAAACACATCTTAAAAAAAAAAAAAGAAGAGCAAAATATTCCAAAATTGTTTACAGCCAGACAGTCAAAAAAGCAGAAGTGAGACCTGTCTCATTTTTGTACACTGATTCACCTGGTCTGGATGGTGAGGAACAAATTGTACACTGGAGCTGGGTAGTACCACTTTTCTTTAAAAATGCTGGTAATAGCACCCTTGTACAGTGACAGTAGTTTCCTGGAGTGCAGCCCAATCTGAAAGGCAGATGTCTCACGCAGCAACACCGAGATTATGGCTGAGATAGGACCTCAGAAATTAAAGTCATTCTTAAGCAACACAGCGGTATGCAAGGGACTTGCTCAGACACAGAGTTTAGTGTGGCTCAGTCTCTCACTACTGTGATGTGATGCTCTTCTTTCTCCTGGAAGCTCTGAATTGTTAGTGCTGTGCTTGTACAGGCCACTAGAATCAACAAGACAAAAATAAGTATTCAGAATTTTACTTCATAAAAGCAACGTGTTTGGCTGTCATGTCAGTTGTTTGACTGCCCCATAATAAATGGGAACTTAAAAGTTAAAAGGTCTCCAGGTTCTTTGTGTAGGAAAGTCTGCTTCCAGAACTAACAGCACTGACTCCAAGGGCAGAGAGCAAGTCCTAGGACTTCAACAGTGTCCAGTCAATGCTGCTGGATGCTTTATAATGTTCCTACTGACTTATTCCTCAGTGTGGCAGATCTGAGTCAAGCCTTTTTCCACTAGTTGTGACAGCATCTGTGCTTATTTGGTGAGCTATGCCTATGACCCATTTAAACCTATTCTTTAGTATCTCCATACATTTATTCAATTAGTTTGTCTCCTGATGACCTTTCTTCTAAGAATTAGTTTCACATCAGCATTTTATTACCTTTCTTAATTTTTTTTTTTTTTTTAGGTTTGGCTATGAGCTTCAGTACTTCTTGCATGCCAAGACATTACGAATGCCCAATAGTATATGGATGGTAGGGACTAAAGGTGGAGTGACTAAATATCAAGGCTTTCATTTTTTTCTGCCTATCCATTAGGAAGAAAGAATAAAATGTAGAGTTGAAAAATTACATCCCAATTCTTTCAGACATATAACCTCTTTGCAAAACACCACCTCTACTACAGTAGTAGTTTCAATAATTTCACCATTTTGAATTATGGGAATACATTTCTAGCAAAATAAAAGAAACTAGTAGTACAAACCAAAATTGACAGCTTTTTAAAGTGTATGTTTTAAATGGCTTCTGCAAGAAGGGCTAAGCATTTATTTTCATTTACAAATAGCGAGCACTTTGGGTTCTTATTATTCCCCATTATTATAAAGGCTTTCTAAAATAAGACATAATAGTTTAAAATAGCAGTTTAAAGAGCAGCTTGATACATTGAAATGAAAAGTGAGAGCATTAAAAATAAGTTTCATTACTTCCAGCTGCCTCAGTGTCTTGGGCTACTAAGTTTAGAGGGAGAAATACTACAAATAAAGTAACCTGCAGAGCAATTTTATGGTGGACTTTCCCCCTTGGTGAATACAGCCATTTGACATCTTTTTCCACATATATGCATGCTGTACTGCATTATATTTGAAAATCATTTAGTAAAGGAAATGAAGAATTACAAGAATGGGCTGAATCTCTGCAGATGTTAGAGAATTGGTGTGAAGAAGAGGAAGCAATTATTTACTTCCAGTAAGTGGAGAATGCAACCTGCAATGAATAGATTGGATTCTGCATTCATGGGCAACCAATACAATATCTCTGATATAACATTGTGACAATTGCAACTCTGCCTTATTTGAACCATAATGAAGTTGCAGACTGAATAGCTTAAAAGTTACAAAAAACTTCTGGTGCCCAGCGTTTTACCAAACATTGAGGAGGAACAGACCAAAACAAAAATTGCTGTTTCTTGCAGTTGTTTCCTCAATTGCAGAGCCTTAAATGCTGAAGACTTAACTTCCTCATAGGATTGCTGTTCTTTCCCCACAGAACAACTGCTTTTCTTTTCCCGCTGCAACCGTTGCAGCCTATTCCAGGTGGTAACCATTAGCAGTCAGGAGATGGAAAATTTCCTTACCATATTGTCTTGAATTACAACATCATTGAAGCATGTCCTTTCTCTAAGTACATTTCATGGCAGTACCAGCAACCAGGGGTAGGAGATGTATTTTATACTGTCATGATGTTGTGGTTCTTCTCTTCTGCTCTACCAACTAAACCAGTTTCTACTGACACCAGGCCTCTGTGAGAAGCAAAAACAGACCATAAGGATATCAGCTCAACTTTTATTTTGAACCATATAAATTCAAAGAGGAGCTATTTTTGTACATTATAAAGAGAATATTTAACCTTAACCCCAGCAAAGAAATATAGACATTGTTCTGATATTACCTCTTTCTCCTGTCATATTGTTGGCTCTCTGTCAGGTGCTTTCCAGTATAGATGTGAAGAAGGGTTGCTCTCTAGGTTTATTTGATACAGTTTGCTGCTGCTGTTCAAAGACATCATGAGGCAAATGCTATTTCATTAATTATCCATTCAAATGGAAACATTGGAAGGAAAGTAACTGATAGAAACTGTGTTTCTGGCAACTTGGAATGAATGTGAATGAAAAATTATTTCTGCTGCCAGAGGAAGTCACTTTGGGTTAACTGCTTGGAACTTCTTGCAAGAAAGAAGACTTGCAAACTTAAAGCCTAGGAGTATGACCAAGGTACACCTGAAACCATAAAAATACAGCACAAAAAGAACATTAAGTAGAATAGATGTAAGAACAACATTATTTATTTGAAAATAAACTTGTAGAAATCAACTACAAGGCAATGGGAGCAATATGAATAATCGCTGTTTCCAAGCCTAATTCATTATTAAAAGCTAAATCTTGGTACCAGATTTGAGCGTAGGAGGCAGAAAAAACCAATTCTGAGAACATTTTATTGCATAATTTTCTGCCCCATAAATTTTGTAACATTTTATATCTGAGCCATGGAAATAATGTGGCTAATGTGTTTTATCATCTTTGATAAAGAGAAACAAAGCACAGTTATTAACAATCATTCGGTCGTTTTTTCACTGCTGGTATTGGCCAGAAATGTCATAATTGAAATAACTTCTATTTTATTATGAATAATCATGTTTTGCTCAGGGCAATGCTATTTTTTGTAGTTCCAGTTATTTCTTGATGATTTCCAATTCTTCAACTGCGTTTAAATATTTAATAATGTCACTGAAGCTACCATTTAACAGCCTCTTAGAAACATCATTAAAAAATCATGTCAGAAATGGAGAAAATGACTGATATAAGATAAAAATAGTAAGTTTATGCCCCAGCTTTTAATTTTCCTATTTGTAGATTTTTAAAAGCAATCTTAGGAAGATTTTATATCTATTTATGCCTGTGAATGAGCAGAAACACAATGAAGAAAGTTTACTCTGCATAATTTTTGACATATCTGGAACTGGAATTTCATGAGGCTGTGCTTTTGATCTAATCTAATTTCAGACTCCCTTAGTTTACCGAGTTTTACAGCTTTGGAATATATTGTTAAATAAAATGGGATATGGATCGTTTTTTTTAGGTCTTGCTTAACATATCTATAAGAAAAAAATACTGGCAGAAGACTTTAACAATGACTTCTCAGAAACTTTTTCATTGTTATTTGCTCCACTTAAAACTCACATTTATATAAGACAGTTATTGTATGTATTGTAGTTATGCATGTATTGTAAGTAACTGTAAAGAGTAAAATTCAGCACTGAAATTAATTCATTTCTTACTAGGATCTGCTCCAGAGAAACAGTGTGGATAAGTGCAGTGTAAAATTGTTTAGTCTCATTCTGTCTGGGATACCCTTCCAACAGTAAATTCAATATTAACATACCCTCACAGCTACTCCCCTACTACTGAACACCCATGCAAAAGTGAAGCTTGAGCACTCAGGCTATAAAAGCACCATGGTTAGGGCTGTGATACTGCCTTATCATTATCTGGTGAAACTCTGACCTTAAAAAACCCCACAGCCTCCACTCAGAAAATACAGTGTCCAAGAGCCAGAAAGGTCCTGCAGAAGTCCTAGACTTCCTAGAATTGTGAAACCTAGCTGGTTCCACATTGCTCTCACTGCAAAGTGCGAGTACAGGCCAGCTGGCCCAAGGATTACCATTCTCTCTCAAATACATTATCAAAGGACAATCACAGAATATTGCAATTCATCTTGAAAATTAATTACAGTAACCCAGGGCACCGCTTGTCAGTTTCTTATCTCTGACAACCATGGATTGTATATATCTGGCTGCCTAAACTATATGGCTATTCTTCTATTGTTACTGATATTAGATCAGATTAAAAAGCAGAATGAATTACATCAAATAATTTTCTAAAGTTACATGATGGGGCAAGTATTTTGAATGGACACTATGAACTCCCTATGATAGGGAGAAATTATGGGACTGAAATGGAAACACTGTTCATTTGCAGTTTGAAATTAAATAGAGTGAAGTGTTGCCTAACAAATACATTTTTATCTTAATAAATTTGATGTACGTTTGATGATTCCCAGTTTAAATACCAGAACAGATAAGCCCTTAGCTGCTAAATGACCAAGCAGAATGAACCCAACATATATGCTTTTTCATTGTGAATGGTTGCAACACAGCTTGATGTACAACTGCACAGACACTCCCTCAGACACTGCTCCTGGGAGGTACATGCACATTCAGACAAGGGCAGTGACCACTACCCTTACGCCCAAAAAACCTAGGACATCTGGACTGAGTGTTTTCTCTTTGAAAAGAAAACACAATGAAGATGGCTGGCATTAGTTTAGAGAATGCATCGGTTTAGAGAATGAGTCTCCATCTGAGCCTTTTTGATTTTGAGAGATGTACTACTAAAGTGGACATGCAATTTCTCAGCTGCTACCAAATAAACAGCCTTCAGATGCTTGGAACATTTCTGCAGGAAATTGAAATACATTGGTTCTCTGTACATTTTGGTAGAAGATTTGAGGAACTAGAACAGTTCATTCAGAACACAAATGTTGTTGGGAGGATTATTCTCACATGGAAGAGTAAACAATAGAAATATGACATCTTTGGGTGACTGAATGCCAGAAGGTGCTGTAAGAAAGGAGCGTGAGTAAATAATAATGCAACTAGTAGAAAATTTTAATCTCTTTATGCATATTCCACACCATAGTTACAAAGGATACCTACTTAATTTAGCACACTCATTATAAAGACGCTGTATGAAGCCCAAGCATACAGAACTATATAGATAAAGACATCTTTCAGAGTAAAACTTTTTTTTTTTTTAATTTTCAGTTTTAGAACTGGCTAATTTCTTGTTTTAATATAAAAGGAAGTAGCTCCCGTAAAGCAATTTTGCTAATGTTTTGGATGAAGCAATTCTTAACACATACCTCTGAGTGTGTATGTTGTTTGGCTTAAGATGTGGAAAAGTATTTTTCCTATTGGACAACATGAGTATTTCACTCTGCCATAGCAGTAAACTAATTGAAAAAAAATGATTCATAGACTCAACCATGCTCTTATACAAATATAGTTCATTAATACAACAGCAGAACCAAGTACCAAAGAAAAAGATGAAAGAAATCTTTGTTGTAATAACATAAACCCCCCTCCCCCCCAAAAAAAAAACCTGTCCAGTTTGTTATACTAACACAACTTTTCCAAAAAAACCTATGGGGTTCTAGTCTAACACAGATGAATATATCATTTGTTATAAAAAAAAATCTGGTTAGGTTTTGGCAGATCTGAGGGGGAGAAAATTCCACGTGGATTTTTATTATTCATAGCAATGAGTTGGAAGATACTACCCAGCATTGGCCATAAAGGATGAAAAGTATCCGAGAATTTACTTTTTTTTAAAGTCTCACAATTGTACTAACAAAATGAAAATCTCACAGAAGAAAAGAAATAAAATAACTTTACAGCTGATGTCTATATAAGGCTTTCTGCAAGACAGGTGGTGCAATAAGCCTACAATAGTATTTAGCAAATGAAAGTACACTATTAAATTGGATGATTAAATAATTTTCTTTATATTAAAGTAGAAATTAAGAATAAATGAATGAGGTTTTTCTAGACCCAAGTAAAACTATATCCAGAATACGTATCTATATTATTTATAAAACATTATCTACTTTTATGGAATAGCAAGATGTACCAGAAGAAAACATTTGGAATATTTACAAAGCACAGAGAAAATTCCTAGTAGTTTGATTATTTCCAATTCTGGCACGGAGAAAGAGGAGAGTGATAAAGATATTTTTGTCATACCTTTTCCAGAAACGGAACCAACTGAAATATTTGTATCACCTTGAAAACTGAGACTGCTTACTCCTTCTTAGCAGATTAGAAGCTACTGTCATGGATGAGAAACATGATGCACTCAAACATTCAGGTAACAGGTGTCATGGCAAAACTTCAGGAAGACAAATATCCTGGAGGCATCTAGCAAAAAAAAAGTGGTGAGCAGAGTGTGTCATTTTAATTGGTTGTACAGCAGGTGCATTCAATTTGAAGACTAGGGCGGTAACAAAGCAACTGTTCCTCATCAAAATTAAATGTTTTTATTTTCCTCTCCCTTACACAACTTTTACATTTCCATGATTCCTTTTACTTCTGTGTGGTTTTTCAATTTATTTTCATGTAGAAAAGGACACTCAGACCTGTTTTGTGTCTGTGGTTGGATGTGGAGAAACTTAGTTTATACTCTGCCTTAATGATACTTGCCCTGTCACAAATCTAAACAAAAAACTGGGCTAAAATGGTTCCTTTGTGTTCCATTCTTAGAAAATTTCAGTGGGCAAGAGCTTTATGGAAATGACTTACTAGACAGGTCAGAGACACGATACTTGTCTACCCAAACCACCTCAACATCTCACAGTGTCACCCATCTTCTCAACTACAAAATGCACAGGGCTAGTCATGAAAACTACTACAGTAAGATTTGATCCTGCTCTCATTAAAGTCACAATTTTTATACTGATTTCGAAAATGGTGTGACAAGTAAATAGCACTCTTTCAGTGTACAGTTTTATGGTAACTGACAGACTGAACTGTGCTGTGTTCTAATGGCACTTAGTAGTCTTTCATATACTGCAAGTATAGCTAATCCTGGAAACCACATGAGATGTGACTGTGAGGACTGAACAGCCTGTGCACTTGGCATTGCTTCTAACCTATTTTTTCACACTCTATTTCTCACTGAGAAAACAAACAAGTAAGCAAACAAGAATTTTCAGTCCATAACATAATAAAAAAGCTTGTACAAGCTCGAGCAGCAAGATAAGGTGATAATTTTGCCCTTTCGTTTAAGTGTCAGCTTGTTTTCAGTTGCTGTCAAACATTTTGTCACAACAGATGCCCATCAGATCTGTTACATGGCAAAATGTTTCAGTACATAAAAGACAAGATGCATGATTTTCACGTACTTATCTTTGAAATCTCCAAAGAACTTTTCATTATAACTGCATTTGCTTACACCCACTGCAATTCCCTTTTAAATTCCTTTTAAAATTCTCTTTATCACCTTTTTTCTCATGCTCATGTATGCACATGTCAAAGTTAAGACATCTTTAAGGGTAACAAAACTTTAGGCCATGATTTTTTCCATGCTCACTTTCATTTGTGTTCTCTTTTGATAAATAAATTTACTCCAATGTCCTTTACTCCAATTTACTCCAATGTCCTTAATATTGTACACTCATGACACAAAGAAAACCTGTTCCTTTTTTTCCCTTTTTGTGTATTTCTTTACCTCTTAAGATGCCTATCTCAAGGAGTTTTATTAAATATAAATACTGAATGCAAATGTTTCTGTTACCTCAATAGCAACAATATTTGCTTTGGAAATGGTTCTTTTACTCAAGTTCATGGTGAAATAATTTTCTTCTGGATTCTCCTCTCTTTCCACCCTTTTGCCTCATTTTTTTTTTCTCCCTGTTTCCTTATGGCTACATGAAGTATAATATAATGCCTCATGGGTTTTGCAGTCCATTATTCAGATGCTAGGTTTGGACCAAGCCACTACAACTCCTAGTTTTGCTCTGTGGCACAGTACGTATAGCGTTGGAAACCATCAAAATTTTACTTAGGCAAGTACGCAGTATTTTCTCTGTATTGATTATCTCTTCTGTCAGCTACAGAACATTGTATAAACCTGTTTTAGTAAAATGTATAGATTAAATTGGATTTGAAAGTATTTCTAGATATGCAACCATGTTTTTCAAGCTACAGACTCAATATGATGTTTTTTTAACCCATGCAAAGTAATGACATCAAGCTGAGACAATTCTGTGCTAGGCTGGAGTGTACATGGCTGAGTGAGCAGAGTCATGCCCTCAGCTAGGCTGCAGTGGATGAGGGGGAAAGAAAGACTGTTTTACTCCTTCTGTTCTGTCAGTAGAATTTAATGGAAAATATATGCCTCAGCCAGGGGCCAAGCAAGCAGCCAAACGATGTTGGCCACAGCCAAGATGACCCCTTCATTTGGCTGCAGAATGTCTGCTGCATAGAGCAGCACTTTGAAACAGCTGTACCAAAGCTTTTGGTGGATTGCTCAACACAGTAGAGAAGGCTCTCACATGTTAGAAAGCTGAGACAAACCAAATAAATGCAAAAGCAATTAATACCTGTTTCCATTATTTATCAGTTGTCATTTTGACAATGAAGGGAGCTATCACTTGAAATCTTTTTTACAGACTGGAAAAGTGGCTTCTTTGGTTGGTTGGTTGGATTTTTTTTTCCCTCACTATGCAGTTTAAAGGACATCTTATAGACATAAATATATCCATGAAGAAAGTGTTTTTCTGAGTATGACATATGAATATAGGGGCATTCAACAGATGTATGGTTAGCACTGTACTTATTCAAAGGAGAAGATATTGAAAAGATATTGCTACTAGATACTGGCAAACATAACTCCTTATTGTTTTGATCTGTTTTAACTGAATGCACATTTTGCAAGACAGGAAACAGTTTTCTGGTTGTGTGAATTTCATTTAACTTGATCAATTATTTTGATATGAAAAGAACACCAAAATCCTGAAATACTGTCTTAAAAAAAATGAGGGTTTTTTAGTAAAATATACATCCCACTTCTGAAATATGAAGACTGCAGAAAGGTTTTTCTTCAAGGTAAGATTAATACAGTGCAGAGGGTCAGCATAAACTCTTAATTCCTTTTAAACAGTAGAGAGACCTTTGGCTCACTCTGCCTAGAGGTAAATTTCATCCTAGGTGCAGACTTCAGTTACTTCATTAGACTGGGTATTAGCCCAGTCTCAGAAGTCCCAGAGGCACATTGAAATGCAAGTGAATTCAGAAGGGAAAAATCATTGTGAAAACTAATGCTGGATTGTTTCTTTCAGGTCAAAGGACAAGCCAAATAATTTCATTAAACCTACTTCTACAAATTTTCCCTCACAAATTCCTACAATAAGAGCATTGTGGGGGTTTTTAGTGTTTTAATTTGAGAACAATGGAACTAACTCTTAAAAAGAATATTTTTTAAATTTCAGTGTTCAATGATTAAAATTAATAAGTTGTTTGTTATGTGTTTGCTTGGCTAAAGTGTTAATTAATGTGCAGTTAAAATAAGACAACTTTGACTGTTTTGACCTTCTCTTAGGTCCAAAAAATAGGGCTTATTCCAAGCATGGCATGTAAACTGGGCAGAAGCAGGACTTTTTTTGTAACCTAAGCTCAGGCTTTCAAAGAGAATTGCTTTCATGGGGTTTCTCCTTCCTTAGTTGACCTTATATGGGACTATAGGCTCTTTTTATTTGGATGAAGTGTGTCTGAATTCTGCAATTTGAAATACTCCCAGAAAGGTCAGCAGAACAACTTTAACCTTTGACAGTAAGAAGGTAGGAACATGCTAACTGATATAAACATAAGAAGATGACGGGATCACAAAACTGACCTGACTGTATTGTGTTCTCTGGAAGAGAAATACAATAATATAATGTAATAAATATAATATAATTCAATTCCTCTACATTATAGTGATCCACTAGTTGCAGCGATACTAATTGCATGCAGAAACATTGCTAATAAATTGAAAGCAGTTTCATTAAAAAATAATGTGTTTTATTTTTATTAGCAGAAAAAGATGAAATGCTAAACCCAGAATTATTTCAATTTGAAACAAAGAAGGCTTCGTATTTCAGCTTACTTAAAAATAATCAGTCTTGTTTGTCACCAAACTAAGAAACAACTACACACTAATCTAAATAAGCTTTTACAATAGAAAATGAAAACTTGGGTATAAAAATTATTTATATAGGCTGTAGGTCTTATATTACTCTATACTTGAAAAATAGCTCATCAAAATCTTCAAAAGTAAAAACCAAAATTTTCCAAAATACCTCTCTCCCTAAAGGAAAATAAAAAAAAAAAAAAAAATCTTTCTGTGTATATCTTATGTTCCATCTCAAATCCATTAATTTTCCAAATGTTTTGAAATATTTGGGCTTACTGGCGCATGTAACTAATTGCTACTAGTTACTGTAAATCTGAAGAAAATTCTACACAACTTCAGAGCATAGGGTTACACAGTGTCACCTATCTTCCTGTGCTATCTTTTTCCCCAAGCATATCTTTAATGTGTAGCAGGTATTAGGGATCATAAAAAAGGACCAGTATTTTCAGACTGCTTTTATATTCCACCATCACAATTATTTTTAACTAGGTTTAAGGCTGTTTTGGGAACTGAAAATGGACATTTTGACTGACAATAGATGATGCAGTGCAATCACATGTAGGTTCCTGATGCACAGGTAGAAAAGAGTGCTCATTTCCCATCCCCATGCAGCACGTGTAGAGGTGGTAACAGCCAGGTTTGTGTACACAGCAGGTTTATAGAATTTGCTGTAGTAATATCCTACTTGTGCAGTTCACATGTGTATTGAACCTTTTCCAATTTTGTTTGGAACATGCATTTTGAAAATCCATTTTCTTTGGAGATGCAGTTGAAGGATCAGACTGATGTTCAGTCAGATCTTCAGCTGACTTCCCCATGAGTAATAGATATGACACTAACAGGCTTTGTGGGTTAGCCAGCTGCTAGTATTTCCCTTTAAATACCAGCTGGCAAAACCACACTTAATTCTTTGGTATGTTAATTCAGAGGAAACAATATGGACATACAAATACTCTTACCTGTGCTTGCCATATCTCTTAAGCTACTAATCAGACCTCATTTAATCACTTCTGCTGGTCACCAGCCCTGGTCTCCCAGGCAGCCAACTTCATGTCACTGAGTATCTCTTCTCTGGTATCTCTTCATGTGCAAACTCTCTCTGTGCAATCATAAAATGACTCTTTACTCAGATCAGCTTGCTTCCTTTCGAGGTCTTTTGAAGGAAGTGAGCTACCACAAACAAGCACATGGCAGTATGTAAAATGACCTTAACAAAGAATGTAAACATTTGCATTTTCTTATGAAGGAAACTGATTACACTTACCACGACAGGCTTAGTAGTTTCTTCAACCTACATATATATATATATATATAGGGACATTACAGCCTTTCAGATCTTCCAAGTCCTGTAGTTTATTCACTGATGAATATCTGATCAGAAACGGAAGGACGTTTGAAGAACACACACTGTGCTCAGTAGCTGGATTTTAAATATAGCATCTGCATATTTGTTTGATATAAGCAAAGGGGTCCAAAACCTGTACCACCATGAGTACAGGTGAGGGCTATTCCACTCTTCTTCCTCACTGAGGAACCCTTCCATTGTCCCTGTCAGGACAACACAGCCTGCATAATCTGCACTAAATCATGAACCAGCTGCAAGCTGTGAGCAACATAAGAAAAAGTAGAGGAAAAACTGAATCAAGTGCACAGTTGATACACCATTTGACCAACAGAGTTAATATTTTGGCCCTTCAGTATCTTAAAAATTCTGAGCATAGCATAGCCTAAACATCTGAAGGTTGTGACTGTCCTCGGGTAATTTGGTAAAATATGGAGAGTGGTGCTGGAGAAACTTTTTAATCTTTGATCTTATCTATCTACTGCAATTCCACAACAAATGACAGCTGTTTTTTATCTTAGATATGGTAAGCCAAAAATGGGGGAAATTAGAAGATCAAATATAAGTGCCTATATTTGCTGATGCTTACTTCTATGAAGTTTGAAAATTTTCCTTTGTAAAAACCCCAGCTTTTGGTCATTTAATTCTAAAACTTTGTTCAGTCAGTCAGATGGATTCATCTTTAAGAACTGACACACTAACAGTTCCTGATGTGTAACACCAAAATTTCTATTTATTCCTGTCAATATGTATAATAAGAGAAATGTACAAAGTGATCCATGGTTACCTGATAACAAATTAATTCCTTTAGATTTTTTTTTAAACTTCTGATCTTAGGACAGCATTTTTTTATATCTGAATCTTTGTTACAGATTCTCGTTATTTGCAGCATTCTTCATTTGAACAGTATGGGGAGGGAATTGTTTTATTCAAGTACTATATAAATTAAGTATTTTGAACTACATAAGTATTTCATATTCTAAGAATAACTTACAGTTAGCTAAATGTCAGTATAATTTGAAGTGATGTCAGCTGAAGTATGTGGCACTAATACTGTTCTATGCAGTTCCATTTCTTAAGGTATAACATTAAAAACTTATTTAGCAGCATTCATGAAGTCATTGATGGTCACTGTGTATTAGAAAAGGAAGATATTTCAAGTAATATTCTTACTTTTGTGAAAATAAAGTTTCAGCTTCTTTTTAGAAACACAGAAATTAGAAATAAAAATTGATACAATTATGTGTCCAAGAAAGTAATTAGCTTTTTTTAAAGAAAAGTATGTGTATTTATAGCTATAAAATTAATAACAGCATATGTATCTACATTTATCATGGCTGTAAGGACAAATTTTAATTTCATTTTCATTTTGTCTCAATTTTAAATACAGAGTGTTATATAGTGTAAAAATAAATAGAATATTTTCAGAACACCACTTTTTCAGGATGGTCTGAAGTTTACAACAAGACTTACTAGAGTTTTAGTAATAAAATTCTTCTGTTCCAAAAATCAGTATTTTATAGGACAGAAAAATACTTAGTTTCTATGGGTCCATGAAGCACAAAAGCTGTCCTTTAGTACTCTGCTGAGCAGTATATCAATAATTACACAGTCATTCAAAGAAGGAGAAATTAATCTTGGAATCAAGCAAGGTGCTCAAATTTCTCATTATTTCATACAAAGGCTTTTTAGATACCTGTCAGTCACAGTCCACTTTCTCAAAATAAATTACATTCCCTAAATTCCCGTATGCCTCAAAAGGAGGTCCCTGAGGAAGGAATTTAGAGCATGGTCATTTACCATAGAGCCTTATCATAGGATGTGAAGAAGGCATATCTCCCAGAATCCAGAATAGAATCACAGAATATGCTGAGTTGGAAGGGACACACAAGGATTATCGAGTTCAGCCCCTGGCCCTGCACAGGACCATCCCCAAGAGTCACACCATGTGCCTGAGAGTGTCATCCAAATGCTTCTTGAACTCTGTCAGTTTTGGTGCTGTGACCACCTCCCTGGGGAACCTGTTTCTGCACCCAACCACACTCCGGGCGAAGAATTTGTTTCTAATATTCAACCTAAACCTCCCCTAACACAACTTCAAGCCATTCCTTTGGGTTCTAACATCCCATATCTGAAAGTCTGAGACCTAAGTTATTTTAAAAATCCAAAAGTCAACCAACGGCATTTTCAGTTCTGCCTTTCAAACACAGCAAGAACATTTCATCTCTTTAACAGCTGAGCCTAGGATGTAAATTCCATTGAGATGTTTAAAACTTGTACACAATTCTTGTTCCAGCTTGAGTCCTTTTCTCACAGATGTGTCTCCACACACCACATCAAAGGACCAGATTTGGTGTTTTAATGGAAAAGATTTACCATAAATAAAAATACAAACAAAAGCAAAGATTTTCAGAGTCTGCAAAAAGTTAGGCAGCTCAGTCAAACTCCCTCAGCTTTCCAAGAAGAGCTGTAGGGAGGATAAAACATTTCAATATGGTAATCATGAATTGTATTAGACAGGTAAGTATTGCACATGTCCCCTCTATCACCAAATCTTATTCTCTTTCTCACTAGGCCATTAAATTTCTCACTAATTAGAATTTGTGATGAAGGAGTCTGACACGGGATTTGGCCAGAGTTGAATATTTCATTAAAAAATCAACATAGAATCAGATAATTGGTATTAACACCTATCTCTTCCCTGATGATTTAGTTTTGAAATCCAAATTTCTTATAACAATGTGCTTTATTGTGCAGCTTTTCCTTTGTTCTCTTACCTATAGCAGCTACAAATCTGTCACACTAACCACGAAAGAACTGCATTGCAAAGAGATACTAAAACAAAAAAACCATTGAAGATGAGGTAAAGAGGAGTGAACTTAAAAAAAAGAGAGAGACAAGCACTAAAAAGCTTTATTTGTAGTTCCTCAAGTTCCTATAACATCCCTCAATTGTAATCATACCATTCACATGGTGATAGAATTATTTGATTGATTTTAGTGATTGACTTTGTCAAAGCTTTGGTGACAGATCCAGTTCTTTCCAGGGAGCTCCTTTATGCATACTAAAACCTTGTGATTGAGAAATGAGATTTTTACAGTTAGTGTTAAGGTTTTATGGACACTTTTGCCTCATTTTAAGGTTTAAGTAAAACATCTCTACAATCCTTCAGCTGCCTACCCCTCAATTATAGAGACACAGTGAGTTGAGACACTATATTTCTGCGCCTCACTGTGCATAAAGACTAGGTGGTGGCAGTATTACTTCTAACAGCTGGTGCAGCTCACAAATGTAAAGCTCAAAATAAAGTAAGACTGGAAGAATCAAATATGATCTATCTAGCTCTGTTAGCAAATGCCGTGAAGCTGCCATCCCATGGTTTCGGAAGACAAATAAATGTAGTTATGCAGAAGCGACTCTCTTTACAATTTCACTGTTGCCCAGCCTAGACTAAAACTACCTTGGTTATTCCTGTGTGTGCCTTGTGTACATTGTCACATCAAATCATAGAGCATTGTTTCTCTAAACAAGCATGACTTAGACTATAAGCTAAGAAACTGCATGCATACAAGTTTATGGATTCAATCTTGATCATTGGATACCTAATCAGGAAGCCATGATATTATACTATTGAAAGGTTTCAGAAATCATTGAAAGAATTAGTGCATCCAGTTCTGTGGTCTTAAATTTCAAAAGGACTTCAGTAAATTTAACAGGATTGAGAGGAGTAAGTTGAGGTCTGAGGGGTAATATGTCCAATAAATATTAATTGAGTTCCATTTATTTAATTTACCACAAAACATTTAGGTGATAACTTGGTCACAGTGCAAACAAGGGAAGATAGTTGATGGAAGTTTAGTGTACTTAAATAAAGACACAGATAGTGATAAAGGTATAAAGGGATAAAACAGAAGGAAGCTAAAGCTGGGCAATTTACTTAAGTTACAGTTAAACAGTCAACTGCAAAGGTTAGTATCAATGGAACAACATACATGGCAATCTACCCGTCAGTCTTAGATGTTCAATCAAGTCTAATTTTTCCTAGAAGATATACATCCTTTACACTAATGCCATGGGCTTGATGTCCCATTGCTCAGCATGTAAAAAGGTTGCAAGGCTGAACAGAGCCACTGCCTGGCTACGGAAAGGGAAGGGTAGAAGCTTGACAAGAACATTGACCACTGCAGGCAGGCTTAACAAGGAGACAGCAAACCTCTCTTTCCTCATGACATAATATTTAGGGTTGTAACAATGAAGATTTAGACGAGAGAAAGCAGCCTCCCAGGCCCCCTTCCTGAGTAGTAGAGACATTCAATGCCTTTTACTAAGGACAAAATTAAAGTTTTAAACAACTGATTGTGTATGTTTAAAATAACTGCATGAGGAAGACGGTGTATGCTAAGTATCTTATTAGGTGGGTCATACCAACTGGTAGTTTGTGGACAAGCTGTTGACAAGATATCCCATTTAAATGCTGCTGCCTTCTTCAATTGTAATTTCAGCTTTTTTGAAGTTATCAGTGTATTGTAAACATAGGAAGTTTTATACCCCTGTGCTCCTTTCCATTGCTCTCCCTTTGGTAACCTGTATGAACTGTCATTGCTTATCAGACCATTGCTAATCCTGATGTGCTGGGAAGCAGTACAAAGGAGAGTGAGGGATGGAGAGAGAGAAAGGAAAAAGGTTCTTTTCCTCTCTCTCCCTCTCTCACTCCTCTTTTCACATGTTTAGGCACAGAATTAATTATCATTTGCAAAAGTAGACAGTACTCTTCCATGAGAGAGCTGAATGAGGCATGGGAAAATCTGCAAATAATAATAACTGGTTGTTTTCAAATAGAAAAAGATCCTCACCATTCTCTTTCAGGTATAAATACATAAAGAATATTCAATACTATGTTTTGATGGTAAAGAAACCACAAAATAGTTTGTGATACCTGTAGGCAGTAGACTGACTACTGCTGTGGGAATAGCCTCAGCTGTGCAGTCTGTTGCATACAGCATCATTACCTAGGATCTATTTGGCACAAGCATGGGCAGTATTGTGAAAATGAACTGTAGGAATGAAGTTCATAAACCTTAGAGAAACTAGACCCTATGACAGCTGAGCTGTTTAAGTTTTTTTGGGGTTTTTTGTTTGTTTGTTTGTTTTGGGTTTTGTTTGTTTGTTTTTGTTGTTGTTTTTTCAAGCCACAATAACTTTGCTTGGCTTCAGCATACACTACACTTAAGGTTCATGTGTACTATTGATAATCTTTAATCAGGAACTATATTTTCAGTTAGTTACTTATTGTTCCAGCTGTACTAGATGCTTACAGTCGCTACAGAAACCATTAACTTAATAAAAGGAATATACATTGCTCTGGTATAACTCTGTAGATATTATAAAGTTTATACTTCTAAGGGTCTAACTGACCTTAAGACTTGTGAGCCATCCTTTCAGATGAGGCAAAGTACCTACACTACAGGAGAAGTAGAATTATATGTGAGTGTAGGAAATTATACCAGTGTTTTGCGGACAGGGCTATGGGGATATCAGACAGGAGTATTAAACTATTTCTGATACATACCTTAAATTTCACAAAGATTCCTGAGACTTTCCTCACATCATCATTTACTGCAGCCACACACAAAATGGAGCAGATCCACTGAGACACTGGGATTCCCAATCCTGTTAAATGCAGAGAGAAACTTCATGTCAGAAATTTCATCTAATCTCTGGTTTAGGAAGTCACCTTCTCCTTTCCAACAGCATGCAAAATGAGCAAAACAATGAAAACTTTGTCCTCTACTACTGATGAAGAATAGGAAAAATTTCTTGGATTTCTTTACCTGTTGTTTATCTGGTGAGGGAGTCAGCCCTCAGGCTCAATTAATTCCACTGCCCCTTACTTTAGCTAGTATCTAAATGGCTATTATCTGATACTGAATAACGCTCACAACTGTGTACGTAGTTACATGCGAGATATCCTGAGTGCTGGTCTATCTCTTGAAAGACAACTGACCTGATTCAAAAGCAGGCATGTCTGAATGTCATTTATGGAGATGTTAGTTATAATGGGTACTTTGTCATTACTTGCAGGAGATAGTATTTAAGATTATATCCTGACCAGCAAGTGAGCAATAATTACTCTCCTAAGGATTAAGAAAGCAAAACAATCCTTAGATGTTTAGTTTTTATTAGGAAAGCCTGGCAGATGCCAGCACAACTCTCTGTACATTTTGCTGAAGCATCCATGATATTTACACTCTCAGTGGCTACAAAGAGAGAACTTATTCCCTAAAATCCCCTTTCCACTGATTATCAAGAACACCAAAAAGATTTCTTAAAAGCTGGGTCATTTCTCCAGAGGGGGTCATTCCATGGGGCTCTACAATGCTTTATTTTTATTATTCTGAAAAAGCCCTGTCAATTATGTGCAGCAAAACACTGATTCAATTAACAATCTGTGTCATCTGAAAGTATTTAAAGATAATTTCAGGCTTTCTGTATCATGGCCTATTTTTCACACTGCACCTAAACTGCAACCTTGTTTCTTTAGTCTGATGTAGTTAATTTGCAGCTTGAAACGACATGCCCATTAGCAATCACATTTGATTTTTAAATTCCATTTTTAAGGTAATTTAGGATATGATTCATGAATAAATGCTAAATTAAGAGCCAAGGACTCTAATTCCATCTTTTGCTATGAAGTTTTCTGTAACTCCTGACTCAGTAACAGTCAGCTTCCAGCTGTCCTATTTACAAACAATCTCTCTATTGACAAAACAGTCTGTCATTAGCTATTTAATGCACTGTGATGATGATCTATATAGTATTTAAAACATTTCTGCTGTGTACCCCTCTGGGAAAGTGACTGTTGTGTACTATAGCTCAGTCCTTGTTGTAAGGAGTGGCTTCTCCCATGAAAATAGTGCTGTTGCTTGAATAACAAATATCATCCAGTCCTTACATATAAGGACTTTGTGAAGTTGTATCCTGACAAAGTAGGAATTTCTGCATGATGAAAAATTCAGATTATTTTTACTGTACATTTTTCCATAAATTTTAAGTATATAGTGTAGTGTTTGTTCACTTGTACAACCGGGGAACACATGTTTACACAGAACAGAAGACTGACTCCCTTCTTCAACTGCAATACTAAACAAAGTTATAAAAAAGTTACTTTTTCCCAATCTCTGAAATTTTCATATATTTCATACAACAGCTCTGTTAGCACATCTTAGAATATCTTCTTCCTGTGCAATAATATTACATTGTTGGATGATGTTAAATATTTATTTGCAAATATCACCATAATTTTCTCCTGTGGTACTACAGCTTCATTAACTTGTCTTTCTGAGGGTGAGTTACCTAATCTAAGCAGTTAATTTTTCAAATCTTCCTGAGTTTTGTATTGCTTTGAGGCGCAGGCTAAGGTTTTCACAACAATTTTTTTTATTGCTGAAATAGCTATAAACTCTCATCTAGGCAGTGCTGCTTATCAGTATTCTGAACAGAATCTCAGCCTCTATGTACCCCTGAGGCATTGCCCTTGAGGTATCGCCTTGCTTTGTCAGGGTGCTCTTGCTAACTCATCTTTCAGTATTGCTGCACAATGGGGTAGTGATTTTATGCTTGTGCTCTTCTACTGCCATGGAAGGAAGTATCATAGCCTTGTTGGAAGTCACACTGCCTCATTATCCCACATCCCCAGTGATTATTCTGTCAAAGGGAAATGTCCAATTTCAGTCATTTTCTCTTTCTGATCAAGTTATTGTCCTTTCTAATTCTTTCTCTACTCTGAGTTGTTTTGCTAAGAGTAATTTCCAGCAATTTATCTCTTTAAAAATAATAGATACCTATTAGTGCAAAATATAATCCATGCCAGTCTGAGAAAGGTTTCTACATAATACTTGTGTTTTCCTGCTGATATACCAGAGGCACCCTGTCACCTAGTGAAATCAAAAGTATTTCAATGCCAAGCGTCTTAATATGTGCAGAGCTGGAGGTGATGAATGGTCACCTTGTCCAAGCCCATGTAAGCTATGCAATATTGACAGCTGCTGTGGAGCTCCTCCTGTTGTAGTCCAAGGGAGCTATTTTTGACTGCTGCAAATATTGGGTATGAATTGGAATGTCTTAAGATACATCAGAGCCTAAATTTATCCTCTATTTTTCTGAAAATCTCAGACTAAATGTTGACATAGAGGTCTTGCCCTCTGTCAGTGAGAAAATTTAAGAATTCCATTACTGTAAAAATAAATTAGACTAATACAACTACAAATATCTTTGTTATTGTAAAATTACACATTGGTCAGAGGTTAATAATGCTGGTTTTCTCTATTAAATTGCTTTACTTGAACACAAGCCCTGTGATATCAGAGTCTGGTAGTGAAGAAAATTGTAAGACTTAGCAAAGGTTGTACAATAGACTTTCATGAAAAAGAAAATAACTAGTAACTTGCATAAAAAGGTGGAGATTTAGAGTACGTTGTGAAACCCAGTAAACTTGATAGATCACTTATGTACAACTTACAAAAACAATTAAAAAAAAAAAAAAAGCAATTCTTAATTAGAGTAACAACACCAGACTTCTAAATGCGCCTTGCAACTCGAACAACAGTGTTTAAAGTTGCTTGGTTAAGGCACAGCAGAGCAATAATCTAGTTTCTAAAATGCATCGCACCTGCTGATGTTATTCCTATTTACAGCTCTGTCAAAAGGCCTCTAAGAGAAACTCTCCCATTTCATTTTTTATACATTTTGAATATATATTGTTTCCTTTTGCAGTTTAAATCCCTTACTCATTGCTTCCAAGAATGTTAGTAAAGCATGTCCTCTATACAATAGTACATGCATAAACAGATAGGTGGAATCTTAGTATTGATTCATTTCTGTACCACACTTCTACTTCACTGTCACAGAATGAAATCAATTTTTCCCATTGTATTGGTTATACTCACTGTCTTTCCTTGCTTACGCTGTATACCAGGACACTTACAGAATGGTTTTGGATTGGAAGATCATCTTGTTCCAACCAGGGACACCTTCTACTAGATCAGGTTGTTCAGAGGCCCACCCAACCTGTCCTCAAACACTTCCAGGGATGGGGCATCCACAACTTCTCTGGGCAATGTGTTCCAGTGCCTCACCACACTAACAGTAAAAAATGTCTTCCTGACATCTAATCTAGGCATACCCTCTGTCTGTGGTCCTATCACTATGCTACACCAGATTTTGCAGCTGTCAGCAAAACTGCTACATGTAGAGCTACGGTCACCTAAGGACTCATGATCACCTGGTGTGGCACAGGCCAAACTGTAAAAACTAGAGATCAGCATTTCTTCGGATTACAGCGTATCTCAGCAAAAGATTCTGTTCTCTTACAGAACTGAACAGCAACCTTAGTCTTGGAGCAGTAATTCTGTCTGGTAGCTGAGAAAACTCATTACTCAGTTTGGAACATCTGAAACAGAAATGCACATATGCACAGAACACATGGACACACACAGGAGAGCCTTAGCAGACTGTCAACTGTTCAAGTTCTCAATTGCTCCCTGTTTGCTTCCAAATCTCTTGGAAGGGGGCTAGCAGCTTCAGGGTCAGGATCATGCACTAGATATTTTGCAGGCAGAATCAGGAGGACAAGTTTGTATGAAGAAGTGGTTCTAGTTATTTCTGTGAAAGTGCACTAAATGCCATGAAATTTTCAGCTTTCAAGGAGAACTAACCTGTTTGCAAATAAAGTAGATGTCATCTTCCAGCAGCTGTAACTTCTGACATGTCCATCTCATCAAACACAAGTACACAGTGTATGCACAAACATGATCTATATTAAGACTGCACGGACATTACAAAGCTTTTAGGTACTTGACACAGCTTTTAGTGTGCAGGGGGATGAGCAGCATTTGTCTCTGTTCAGCAAGGCCTCAGTGTGTCAGCTGGCCTAGTTACATTGTCTTCAGGGGAATTTGACTTACAGTGCTGCCTTTGTCTGTTCTCTTCATTAAAAACAACACAGAAAGCTCTCAGGGTAAAATAGCCTGCGATGCAAATATGAAACATCAGCTTTGTGTGGCCCAAATGCCTCTGGGAAATCTCTGAGACTCTCTGAGACTTTCATTTTAGGAGCCAAAATTCTAAACAGATTCCCTTCTCACACATTTGCATAGATTTTCTCCTCACCACCACACTATATTCCACAGCAGTAATAGGAACACTTTGTACAACAAGAGCTGCAAACGTACAGTAGGTCCTTATTTTCAATATACCACACACGTGTACCACTTCTCACCTATGCCCATCTCAGCCTCTTACTCTCTGCCTAAATAAATTCACTAGCATCTTCTTTTTTTTTTTTTCTTTATTGAGTCGTAACACCCTGGCCTTTACCTGGGAGACAGGTTTGTTGTGAGCATTAATGTCTTTCTCTGCTGTGAAACCACCATTAAAAGCAGTGACTATTTTGCGTAGTGTTCCCTGTTTGAACATTGTAACCATTTTCTCCAGCCCTACTATTTCAACTATTTTTAAATGAACCAAATTATCAAAGTCAGATGTTATTATGTCTTTATTTGTTGAGGCTTAAATACACCTGAACCGAGGTGGATATTTGCCAGATGATATACCAGGTTATTGGTTCCTTGACTTGGGGTCTGAGAGTAAGATGCCCTGGCAATCTTGATTTATAGAACTAAAGGTTTTCTGAGTTGTGGTGTCCTTAAAATTCACTTGTAGCAGATGCAAATTTAATACCAAGTAATAAATTTAATGCTATAAATCTATTAGGCTTGTACTTAAACAAAAAAAAAAAGGAAAGAAAAAGACATTAAAATTTTGTGAATCTACAACTTTTGTATTAATTCTAATGAAATTGTGCAAACTGCTTTTTGGTATCAAACAGGTACAGGTAAGTATTTCCTTCATTTATGTGCATACTTCATTTTTCATTTATTGACAATAAACTTGTTCCTGAATGGATTGTTACAACCCTGCTTGCTTTTTTCCTGTTTAGTAGGTTCTAGCACGAATTCCTGTTTATTTCCATGATCACAAGGTGATCTGTAAAATTGCCATATGCCCTTTAATTGGAAACTGGAACTGCAGATGTTCACAAATGACTTTGTCATTCCCCTTGTTCATTTCAGAGGTGTATTGAGTAAACTGACAACTGAGACCTATCAAGTGTTCCCCTCTGTAGTCTCTTCCATCAGACTGTTGAGTTTGTTCATTTTCATCCTAAAAAGGTCCAGGGGTGTAAATGTGTCAAAGCTGTTTTCTATTATTTGATAAACTCAGAGTTGCAACTTTTTGCTGAAGGCTACAACTTTGTCATGTACATTGAAAACTTTCAGCTCTAATCTGAAGTCAGTAAATCATGAGAAAATATCAAGGATGTAAATTACTAGCAAGGTCATGACTCGTTTTCAATATGAAGCAATCAAGAAGTAGAACAATCAAGGAAGCAAACAGGCTGTATGAAGACGTAAACTTGTCTGGTTGCTGAATAGAACTGAAGACTTCAGTACATTCACTGCTGAACTATTCCTAGAGATGTATATCGCACTTTTCAGGCTGAAAAGTACCTTTTTTAGTTGGCAGTGCTTTCTGATGGAGGCTAAAATATTCCTTGTGAATATTGACAGCTATTTTACACATTTGTAAAATAAGACTAGCAATTTCAAGTGTCCCTCTACCTGCAACATCCAGGCAACTTCAAAGATAGATCCATCTCTGGGGAGTTGTGGCAGCCTGGCAATTCTTCAGCAACATTAAAGTTTTGGAGGAAAATGAGCTTTCTTTGGCCAAAAAATGGGGATTTTGTAATTTCTGCATCTGTGCAGCTGCATAAAACAAAGGTAAGAACTGAGAAAACTCCTGGGAAACTATGGAAGACATCATGAGGTTGAATTAGCACCTCTTTGCTAGCTTCTCTTTGCCCAGAGAAGTGCTCTTTCACTGTGTTTTGGAAAAACTTGTGCGAATACGTTCCTCATCTCACAAGGTATGAATGAATTTATGAGTGAAGAAAAAAGCCGCACCAGTGTCAAGGTTTTAAAAGTAAAAGGGAGAAACCTGATTAAAATAAAGGTATCTCATTCACTGAAAAGCTGTGAAAGGCCAACAGATGCATAAACCCATTTATAATCTTGTTAGGTGATTCTTGTATTAACTACAGGCACAAAAAATAAACAGAGAAAGGATTAGAGTTTCAAGTGGGTTCAATGATTGTGTCTAATTAGCCCTTGTCATGGATCTCTGCTGCTTTAAAGGTTACTTTCTTATGTAGATGAGAGCAGCATCTCTACAAAGAAGCTTGCTGCCTATTAAGAACCACTATATTAAAAAATAGTTTGCTGCAGATTTCTCCACTTAAGTTTGAATTTACATCATGGAGTTGGCATCACTGTTAACTATGATGATCCACAGTTATGCTCTAAAGATTGCACTAAATTCAAGAGAAAGTATTTGCCAAGCAAGCATCCAGACTTCACACAAAGGAAAAAATGTCACTGTAAAAGCTTCGAATGTACAAAAATTAAGACCATCAAAAAAAAAAAAAAAAAAAAAATCTGTGGTTGTGTCCAAAGGGAAAACATCAAAAAGACACAATGAAAAAACCCAAAGGTTTCTCCATTTCAAAGTGGAAGTAGAGAGTTGCAGACAACAATTCAGCATTAATGCATTCCTTCCTTAAAATGAGGGTGAGGGATGGGCAGGAAAGCGATGCCCATTTCAATCATAAAATTGAACTACTTTTTCTTTAAGAATAAAGACATCAGACAACGTGGCAGTAAGAATTCAAGATCTACAAACATTCAACCAAAGAACAGGAAAAAGATGCCCATATGACAGTTGCCTAGATTGCAAAGTCAGAGCATACCTTCAGACTGTACTGCTATGACAATGTATCGTGTACATGATGAAAAACCACATTCAAATGCATTTCTTATTGAGAAACTATTTGCACATCATGTTGTCCAGCTCTGAACTGCTTAAGGCAAGTCAGAATTCATATTTGCATTTTAAACTAGACTCACTACTTGGCATTTTTGCGTTGGAGCTGTTTAGTACTTGGAATGCATTATACAGTACTGAGATAAAAAGCTTAAGGTTTGTTGTCAAAATTAATTGTTTCTGTGTATCTGCTTGACTCATAAATGGACTAAAAAAGGCTTTGGCTGTCCAGTTGATTAATTGAAAATATGTAAAATTATCTATCCAATAATGTGTGACTACATCTTCATCTTGAAAACAACCTAAAACTCATATATATTTTTGGACCAGGTGACCCTTCTTTTGTAGTGGGCAAAAGAATAGTTTCATGTATAAGCAAAGTGGGAGTTTCACACAGCAGTTACAAAACTGTGCTTCTAATTCACCTGACAGTTTAAAAAATGCCATTTTAAGTGTCTAGAGTCCAAATGCAATGGTGCCTGGTATGGTTAAAAGTATTTATCAGTTTATTATAAAGGGTATTCTGCAACAGTGCTAAAAATGTTTATAATATCTCACCCCTACATTTAACTGGTTTTTGATGTGTTTCTTTTTTTATTTGGTTTATTTTGTTTGATTGGGTTTTGTTTGGTTCGTTTTTATAAATAAACACATTTTTAAATAACTACCAGCCTGATGCAGGCAACTCTGCCTAGGTTGTAGAATATGATTTTTCCTTGTCAGTCAACAAGGTATTTTGAAAACTGCTATGCCATTCTAGTATTCAAAACAAAGTAAAAAACTCTTTCAGTACTGGCATTATGCAAAAGGTCATACAAATAGTTTTTAATTCCTACCTTGATTCTGCACGTATGCAAATACAGGCATGAGTTCAACACTAAGTATAAATCATTTGAAGGACTGAAATCTAGCGTTTGAAAATTATTTTGCTGATTTGCAGAGATTTTAAAATGGAAGGTTTCAGACACATCACTTTTTCTTAGTTTTGTGTTAAAACATCCATGATTTACATTGAAGTACCAAGTCTCAAGAAGGAGTTTTTTTAAATTTTTCTCAAAATGCTTCAGATATTTGTTGAATAAATGTAAGAAGATTATAGCAGTTTAGGGTTGCTTGAACCTGTGTTGTCTAGACAACAAGCTTAAATCAAAAGACAAAAACTGGGAACTGATTAAACTCTAAATCTGCAATAATATATTCACATGCCTAATAGCACTAGTGAACCAGTCCACTGGTTTGTTTGTACACACAAAATTATATACACGATTATTTCAAAGAATTGGACCTAAGTCTGCAATATTAGACAGCTGTTTGGGGTCATAGTTTTAATACATAATGTAATACTTCACTATGAATAATTTTCCACTGAAAAACTAAATAGTGTCAAAAAGTGAGCTTTCCTCAGTTCATTTTATTGGATAAAAAATAATATTCCTGTCAAACCCCTTAAGAATTTGTCAATTAAGTCTCAAGCAAAATATGTGAGTTCCAAATTTCTTAGCTCTGTAAGTATTATGGAGAAGCACAACAATCTCTTAATAAGTATGTTTGGGAAAGATACTGAAATACATTGAAAGTATGACCTTTTATGATCTCTTCATATGATCTACTCAGAGAACATTTCAGTTGGTCTTTAATAATAGTTTCCAAAATGTTAACTGTGTCAAGATATCAGGTCAGAACTAGGTGTTGCTACTGATTTCACAAGCTACTGTTCCACTAAAGTGTGCAGTAATTTAATTAATCAGTTATGAAAGAATTCATATGGCTGTTGTACAGAATGATAAACACTAGTAAATTTTCTACCAACCACAGTCCCCTAGATAGTTCTCTGCGGCAAATCATTTCACCACTAATTAATTAAAAAAACTTTTAAATGATGACTGAAAAGGCAGCCCTTAAATATCTTTGAATTTCAGTTAATCTTTTTGTATCTCTGCTTATTTTTATGTCCTCTCAGACAATTTCCCTCTTCATGTCTTCCGTTTCTCTTTCAGCTTCCCCATTATCTATTATTTTTATCTGTTCCTTTTCCCACCCAGTGTTTTCTTTCCTCATATTCTTTGTTTTGTAATAACCCTGTTTTAGCAGCTTTTGGAATGTAGCAATGACTACGTACAATATTTACTTCCAAGTACCTCCCCAGATGCCACCCCAATCTTTCTCTGGAATGCAGAAAACACCAGCTGTTTCCCCACAACAAAAAGCATTATTAAATAAGGGACAATGTACTGCAACAGCTCTTCCCTCCACAGCTAACCCGTCATCGTCTCTTTGGGACTCACCTTGTATGCCTCATTTAAAGGCTTTCACTGTAGTCCTTTGATGACAACTCCAACATCGCTGTCAGATGCATCGCCTGTTGAGCCTGGTAAGGCAGGAAGAGTGCCACCTGCAATCAAGAGGCAAGGAGTCAAGTAAGCAAGCTGTAGTGAAAAACAACTGTGGGAAGCCTCAGCTGGGACCCCAAAACATGCAGCCTCCTGAGCATTAATTCAGGAGCTGCAGCTGCACTCAGCCCTTTGCTCTAGCCTGAGTGGGGGTGAGGGTGTGCTGTGCCCAGCATTGCATTTTCCCCTGCCTTCATGGCTTGTCCTTCTGGTCTGACTTTAGGCAAGTCTCTTTGCTACAGACTTGCCTGACCATCATTGGGCTGTTAGCTGAATCTGGTTATCAAACCCTTTCTTTCCTTTTTATTTTTGAGGGGTGGATACTGTGAAACTGCAGCTTGAGGGTGAGAGCACTGCCTTGCCAGCCTGGCTGTCACCACTGGCTCCTGGCTTGCCCTTCCTTACAGAGAAGTCTGCGCTGCTTCCTGACAAAACCCTTCAGGGTAAGAAACCCACTCTTTGGTGCCCTGAGGCCGGCATTATTTTGCCTGTAAAGATAGTGTCATCCTGCATCCTTCAATCTGTTCCAGTACTCACGTGCTCCATCCATCCTTTGAAGCACGAGCATTGAGGTATGAGGCTTGAGGTAGATGTATAAAGCCATCTATCATCCTGCCTGCTTTAAGTGGAAGGTCTCAGGCAGACCCCAGGTGTCAAATTCTTGTATCTATCCAGTATCTGTCATATGGTCCCTGACTGTATGCAAGAATATCTTTTTTTCCCATATTGTAGGCTCAGACCAGAGCCTCATGGTCCTGCTGCAGATTTTTTGCAATGTTATCTGGACAGCTGCAGGGTCACTTCAGTCAGACTGTGAATTCACTTCAAGTACAGAAATTTATTGCCATGCCTGGCTACAGGATGGCATTTTGTGCTCCTGAATGACAGGACAACATCCCAGCAGTATCTTCAGCATCATGATCCATTTATCGAAGTCCCCGGAAACCCAGGAGCAGCTGACTCTCTGAGTTCAGCAGGATCAGTTTCACCAGGAGCAAACGTTGTAGGAAACTATTACATGCAATAACTAGTTTTGCTCTGACCAGTACAGTTAGAGAAAGTAAACCCAGGACACATAAGGAGAAACAATCCAACTGGGAGCTTATTTGTTTTAGAGATGAGACTGAGTAATAATGGTGCTATGTGGTTTATTTAAGCCCATATTCTTGAGGAACTTACTGTTTCAAAATTTCCTTTTATTTTTAATTTATGACATTGAAATTTGCAAATAGATGAAAATAATTCACTTTTAAGAAGTGTTAAGAGATATTTTCCCTCTTTCAGTTGTGTAGATTGTTTCTAGTATATTCTGAGAAATTTTCAGTGTTTTAAATTGAACTAGAGGTGAAGTAAAAAAGAAACCTATTATTTACTTATCTGCTACCATTAGCATAGGAGCTACTACATCTCACTACTTCCAATGGACGTATAAAATGCAGTTTCTGGTACAGCTGAAATGTTTGATCCCTTGACAGGGAGCAAAACTATTATTTACACAATTGTAACAGTTCAGAAAGCAGAAGAAAATTGATTTATCTGCAATGTACCATGCACATGAGAATTATTAAGGAGCTTTCAGAAGAAAAAACAAGAATAGAAATTTGATGAAAGAAAAGCCTCCTCACACTATTTTTCCAGCTATGCCCTAGCAGGTGCATATATAGATATATATCTACATTTCAGAAATTCTTTACTGCAGTCATATAGGGAAAGTGAAAACTGCTGCTGGAAACAATGAAAAAAAATAATTTCACACTGAGCAATTTTTTGCAATTCAGTTTAAATGAACAAGTCTTAGGAAAAATATGTTAACTTGGCACTCATTTTTTTCCTCATCTTTATGTTTGAGAGTATCATAATGAACTGAATGAAGAAATAAGCTCCATTTCAAACTAGTGATTATGAGAACTCACCACTGGATGTGATACTGCATGAGTTGTGACAATCTGTGTCCTAAGGCTATATATACTTGCCAATGAGGTATGACAGTCTCAAAATGGGCTGTAAGAAAAGCAGGGTATCACTCTGAAAAAACAAGTTACCAATAAGAACTGAGACATACCCACAAGTGCCAACAACCCACAGATTGCTAAATTATGGGCCTCTGTCTGAAAATACAAACACAAAAATGCAGCTGCCAGGTATAAAGTATAGGAACATTTCACTCAGTCTTGATCTCCTATTGCAAAGTATGACTCCTTATGCCAAGCATGGTTTTATACAGCTTCCCTGATTAGGGAGATGTATTTAATTATCTTCTGAAATGGTATCAAAGAGAAATATAAAATTACAGAGACACTTGAAGAGCTGTTGAACTTCAGAAACTAACCATTTAATAAAGCAAAGCATTGATTCGTAAGTGTGCCATTTGTAACTTCAAATACATTTTAAAGCTTATCTCTTCCTTGGAGTAATAGCCTTATTTCTTTTTACAAGCAACAAGCATATTATACCTGTTCTCAGGTATAAAAAACTTGCTTTTGGTTGCATAAACTAATTAGCTTTTTTTTGAATTTTTTTTTTTGATTAAAAATACAAAACCTCTTTGCTTGAGATAGTACTGATGAGTATAAAAAAAGATTTATTTGTTTTTCTTGAGTGATTAATACTTCATGTGTAGGATTACACTGCGTGATATTCTGGTGTAGTAATGCATCTAGAGTTGAAAGGGTTGTGCCTTATTAATAGCCAGTATTAATTAACTCTGTTGTTTACTGTGAGATTCAATGCTGCATTTCAGCTATGGACATCTTGCAGTCACTCTCATATTCTAGGGGTGAAAGCTATTTAATTACTTGACAAGACAAATATTAATTCTATATTACATATATTTCCCTCCTGATCTGAAGTCCAAATCTAAGTATGTTCTGTCTTCTATTGACACACTGTAAAAATTTTCCATTTTGCCTCCCACTCCTCAGACTTCCGGAGTTAATTAACCTTAACGTGGAAGAAATAACAGAAAACAGCATTCACTTTTAAATGTGATATTTCAAAATTGCAAGGCCTAAGTTTTGAAGATCTTTTCATACACATTCTGAAAACCACTCTAGACTAAAGATGTTTCTGGAGAAATGTAGTCACTTAAATTCATTCAAGCAGAAAAAACCAGCATCAGTAAGGAACCTGGGGATTTAAAAGTATACCAAGAGGTATATAATTTGTCTTAATTACTAACAACTGTAAAATAGTTGACATACTAGGTCAGACCAAAGGTCTGTCTAACAAAAGATGCTGTTTTCAGCAGTGGTCGTAACAGACATTCAAAACCAGCAAATATTCATTCCCTATGACACCTTGCTTGTTCATAGTGCCATGACTGTCACTGGTGAGCTGTGTTGTGATAAAGATTTCCTCTTTAGATTAGAATCCAAAGTATAAAACTACTGCTGTTCTGGGAGAAGTTGCATTTCTTGCTTTGAAAAAAAGATGCTTCCTTCTACTAGTAGTCCACCAAGGCTCTGGGGCATCTGTATTTTGTGGGTAGAGTAAATTTATCTACCTTCGATCTGAACAGGTGCAAGCTTTTTTTGGTATACTAAGAGAAGACCAAAAGCCTACTGAGAAGGAGGGCACAGGATCAATGCCAAAATATCTGCATTTGCATGACTCCCTAATGTCTTGGATTGTGAACAGAGTGACTGTGGCTTGGCTGTAAAATGCCAAGATGTACTTTTCTGTTTGATTTAAAGAGAAGTTTTGAAATTCCTTCTTCTATGGAAATCTTCTGAGAGTAGGTGGGGCTGGTGGTGAAGGGGAGAAGTTTGTCCCTGAAATACGTGGGCATAAAATCAAAGACCTCCAGGTTGTATCAGTAAACTTCAGTCATTTGATAGGTGATTAACATCAGAAAAAGACAGTGTTGTGTTTTAGAGAGGGAAATTTCCACTTATGTTCTTCCTAGACACCCAGAACAGATAGATGGCCCAAGGAAAAATAAGAAACCTGCAGCAACATCAGAATAGTTGTCAAGATTTTATGTTAAGTTTCTGGGCTTTAATAGCAGACAGACTTCTGTGCCTTATTCAGTGTGACTGAAGTATTATTTAAGAGCTAGTGAACTGTTATCTTGTGAAACCTTAAAAATGTTGGTATTTTATTTACAGTTAATGAAGTGCACTTCATACTGAATTTATTCAAACATCATGAAGAAATTGGTTAAAGGTGGTTTTGTCTAGCCTGAAGTCAGACCACATGGAAAGTGATAATATTCTTACTCCTCTTTTCTCCACCAAACTACCAAACATATCACCATAAGAGAAGCATTGTGCCAGTAGAGAGTCCTTAACTCTGGCCCATATATAAGGAGTGAAAACAGCCAGAGAGATATTGGCCTGGTGATGAGTACTTTCTTTGGAGTGGGACATTCCAAAGAACACAGATTGTGAATTTTTAACCTTTTGTGATGCAGTCTTTGTTTGGGGGAGAAAAGCAGCCGTTCTGTGCTTGGGGCAAAGCCAGAGTTGAGTCTAAAGCCAGCAAAGTCCATCTGTCATATCTGCAACAGATTGGCCAAGTTTGTAATGCAGATTTACACCATGGGCTACAACTGTGAAGAAACACAGAATCACAGTGATGTGCACTAGTTTAAAATTGCAACTTTCTTAAACACACTGAAATATTCCTTTTCACTGTTGGAAATATAAGTGCAGGTGGTAGACAAGCTGAAAAAAATGAAATTTGATTGGAATATGATTCCCACTTTTAACTGCTTGGATATAGAGTCATGCTGATTGTTACTCTATTTCTGCCCTAATAATTCTCACCACATATTTCTTTGCAAAGACACAACTTCAGAAGATGAATAGGGACACTATTAACTCCTCTCACAGGACTGGCTTCAGAATAAACAATAGACCTTTGTGAAGAGCAATGTGGTTAAAATTTTTATAAAAGACCAAATGATACATCAGCTTACAGTAATAAATACTTCATAATTGAGTCAAGGGAGTTTGCCTATTTCTCTTCCATTTCAATTCCTAAAGGAAAGATTACTCTC